TAGAAGGCGAACCGCGAATCCGACGATCCGCGAACGAGAGGAGAAGCTCAAGACAGCCAGGGGCCAAGGGGGTGACAGCCTGGGGGCCGGCAGACCGAGAGTGCGGCCGTCGTAGGTAGGTAGTGATAAGGTTCTGCTTGGACCCGTCTCACATCCAAGACCGTAGACGTCGTCGACTTATTCGCCAGCGCCAGCCGGCCTCGAAGGCTCGACCTTGACCTTGAACTTGAGCGTCTGTTCGTATGTTGGTGGAAGCCTGCTTCGGGTCTTCCAGGCCGAACATTCGTATGTATCCGATGTATTTCAAGCTGTGATAGGTGACTACAGACGGTTAAGGCGAAGCTAGAGGCGTTTTTCGAGGGCACGAGGATCTTGCTGGCCCCACGCTCCTTCCATCACCAGATAGATGAGCTGCCGAGCGCATTGCACGGCATTTCCAGAATCAATGTTTTCTTGAAGGCTCAGCTTACCGTTCTTCGGCCGCGCCGTACAACCCTTGTAGGTGTTTAATCGATCGAAGCGACGAGGCCAGCCGCACAGGAGAAACAAGATGAGAGCCAAGACGATGCTAACAGCGAGCACCATGCATTGCAGTCGTGAATTGCGTTTTTGGCTTGCCGCGGTCTGCCAAGCACACAAGATGCGCATCGCCGAATCGGGCATAGCGGACCAAGACACTGGCAATTCGGGACGAAAAGGACGGAGACGTGGATCTTGCGACGCGATAAGGTGATGATTATGAAAGCTCACGCAGAGCAGCTCTGTTCGGCTGCCGGTACATCGTAGGTACGCGCCCATCAGTTGAGGTGGGCTCGTGGAGAGAAGGCATCTCGAGTCTTGGAGATCGTCGCTTGAGGATAGGCAGAGGAAGGGCAGTGGTTGACTCAGAAGAAGCCGCCAACGCCCTCTAGTCTTTGCAATGGGCGTGTCCAGACCGAAATGCCACGCCAGACTGACAGGTCCTGTAGATTGACGGTCAAGACAGTTGTATTGCTGCAGGTCCGGACTGAGACAAAAAGCACTTGAGCGGGGCCAAAGGATATGCATGCGCCATCATGCATATCCATTGGCGCCGCTCAAGTGGGAGCGAGAGACTTAGAAAAGTGCCGTGCCGTGCTCGTCCGTGTCGTCCTGGTGCGGTGTCATGGTGCTCGTGGGTGCTTGGATTTCCCCCACTTGCTGGAGGGGTCCATGAAAAATGTCATCTCATGCAGGGCACGCCGTTGTTTCCGTCCCACAAGGCGATATTGTTTTGGACGACTGGTGTTGACTTTTTTTTCTTGAAAAATTTCTGTCATTTTTTCCTCTCTCTTTCTCTTCCCTGCGAACCTTGTCTGTCGGGTCGTCGATCTCATGAGTAATACTGCGAGGTAAGTAGCGCTTGAGGAAGGCCCCTGAAGTGTGCCTTTTGAAGAGGTAGCATTGTTGATTCAATAACACCAAGTGGCCAGGAGCAGGATCCGTCGACGGAGGTAGGTACGCGGTAGCGTTGGGATACCTGCTGCGTACGGTAGTCTAGGTACACCGAGTCAAGTTTACTCGGATCCTCAATGCTTGACAGAGAATTTAGAAATCGACAAGCCTGGATGCCAGGTCAGAAATGGAAGGGGCAGCGAGTGCTAGTGCAGCCGAATCAAGGGTTCAGTCCAGAAAAGGCTCCTCGAGCGTCGGGAATCCTTCGAAATGAGGATTAGGGCGGGGTAAAAGGGATAGAGCCGCGAATGCATGCAGCGGCGTTGGGCGGCGGCCGCGGACGAAGAGACGGTGTGACGAAGGATATTTCGTGCTCTGTATCCGCAGTCTGCCTGTATGCTGCCCTGTTATTCCGTACTCTGTAGGGTTCTGGAAGATCGGAGTACGGGTAGATGAAGATCATGGGAGGCTGGTGGTTGACGGCGGTTAGTCATGTATCCGTCATTCCATTTGGGACATTTTCTCCTGGTGGATGTGCGGGCACGTCTCTCATGGTTGCATGGATGTGTTCATCGTATTTTCTGTATCAGTACCGTAGGCATCAAATCAGTACATCGTCTTTCCCTGATAATGATAATGATGATGATGGTGATGATGTGAGTCCGTACCCGTGCCGCGTACCAAAGAATAGATGTTCATGGTCGCCGCCTTGTAACGTGGACTGGGCGGCCTGGGGGAAGCAAGGGACGGGATGGCGAGGTAGAAATGCTACCGGGTGGGTGTTCCGTCAGACCGGAGGTGGTGGCAGTCGAGTCCGATGAGGAAGTTGAGATGGGAATGTGAGAAAAGGGTGAGTCGGGCATGACATGTCATTGGCGGGCACTGTCACACACACAAAAGCCTGAGAATGGAGGGATCGGCTGCATGTCTCTCACTCGCTGTTGCACTTGGAGTCGTAACTTTTACGCTTTGCAAATGGCAGCTTCCCAGTCACTCAGTGCAGCTTTCCCACTGCAGCAGCAGTAGCTTTCCCTGTGCCCTCCTCCCGCGTCTCGACAGGAAAGCCCAGCCTCAATGGTGTTTGACTGTTTGGAGAGGTGGGTCTAGTAAGTGGAGACTACGGCGAATCAGATGATCAGAGTTTTGGGGGAGATGATCATGGAAGCAGAAAGGAAGGAAAGAGCGGGGCAAGGCCGACCTCTTTCGAAGGGCAGGGGCGGGGCACACCGGGGGGGTCAGGACGCAGGAGGTGCTGGGTGCCAGGTGGGATGAGGCAAGCACGGCAGGCACGCGGACTCAGAGACAGGAAGGAAGGACCGTCAAGAGTCAAGCATCCAACGATCCAGAGACTTGGATGGCTGTGCTTTGACTTTCTGGTAGCCGGAAGGAGCTAAGGCCATGGGCAGAGGAAGGAGCGAAAGGTCCTCGCTCGACCTCTCTCGAGTAAGGTGGTGCAGGAAGGCAGGCGCATTCCATATCAGTCAGCCACAACGACACTCCTCACCTCTCTCCTTAGATGAATTACGCACATGCATGATAACCATCTTCACCGAATACACGTATATATGGCTATTGTTCACACCAAGACACACTAAATGAGAAAAAAAAAATCGTATGAGAAAAAACATCGTAAAACCCGTCCAGGTTCCCAGCACAAAAACAACACCAAGCCGGGAATTGTCAGTCAATAGCCGCTCCCATGCATGCCATTTCCGCATGTTCCGTGCTATTGCTGCCCGCCTTCATACCTTGCCCTCCTGCTCACCCACTCGGTTTGAGCCTGTTCAAACTTCGCGGACCCCAAACTCGTTAACCCACGGCTCGAAACCAGGTAGGGCTGGCTTTCAGACGAGGAGGCATTTGTCCCGTCTGCCGGATTTATTGGCCATTGTATGGATCTGTGTATCCACGGCCATGGATGATGCCGCCATGAGTCCATGACTACCTTACTCTGTACGGATACCTGTACCTGTGCATATCTAATGGGCCCAATGAAGCAGGTCTACCCTTTGGCTGTCCACTTCCAATATCCAGTCAGTGCCATTTCGCACCAGTATCTGGCCAGTATTCTCTAGTCTGTATGTACTATGTAGTATCCACGGCCCACGGGACATTATTGTCTGAAGTCAGTACTCCGTAAGGTAGTCCGTACTCCGTATCCACGGTATGGATTATGGATCCCTTCATCCTGGATCCCGCCCACCTACCGCGCCCACCTCCATTGCGACTGTGACGAGTCTTTGGAGGCTTCATCCCGTTATCTAATGTTCCCTTCTCTGTCACTTGTATCCCTTCCTGTCACTCATAAAAGTGTCGTGATGAAGCACGGGAATGGAGATGATGTTACTGTGCAAGGTATCTCAAGAAAGGAACGGGAGTGTCAGGTCGTCCAGTCTTAACGAAGCTCTGCTAAGGTCCCCACTGCAATGGTTCTGAAACGCCCCTACCGACACTTGGTACCCGCGAACCTTGACCGTCGCCCTGGCCGATTCTTCTGATTAGCGAATGAACAGCCGAGACCTTGCGAGTGGGTAGCGAGGGTAGGTAGCGTCCTTTCGACATTCAGGTCGTGCCTTCCTCGCATCTGGGCTGTCGTCCAGCTCCCGCCTCAGCACGTCTCCCTCCCACCTCACTCTACAAGTAAGGTACTGTAGTGTATACCTCGGTAGTACATCCCACTTCGCCTCATCGCGCCCTGGTCTGCGCCTAGTCTTCATGTACCTTTTCCTCTCTTTCCAGGATCTCTCCTCTCTCCCCTCCCTCCCCCCCGGCGCCCTCCCTGCCCTGCTCTGCTGGACCACCGCCCATGCCCTTTGAACATTGCTCACAGGTACCGAGCACGACAGCAAACCGAAGTACCTTGCCGTGCCTTACTACGCCAACAGCTACCCTCTCCTCGTCGTACCTTAACGTACGGGATACGGAATACTCCATACCTACCTACCTAGGTTCCTACCCAAATAGTACCCAGCAATAGGTGACTGACCACCACGCATTGCGGAATTGCGGGCGGACAATCAACTGGACGGCACTCCAGGGCAGTTCTCTCCTCCCGGTCTCTCTGCCCTGTATCACTTTGTCACCTTTTTCGGCGCAGCAGCCAGCAGCAAACAGCGGTACCTTCAATTGTGGACCTTGTCGTCTCTTCACGCCCGCTGCCCGTCTCCCGTCTCCTCTTGGACCTATTCGACCATTCCCAGCCCGGCGTACAAACATAGCCTACACAACCGCCGAGTCCACCACACACGCGACTGGCGAGACAAGAGGACCCTCTGTCTTCACGATACCCTCGACCTACTATCGCATCCCTCGTCAGCCGAACCATGAGACATTCTGCCCGCCCTTGCGCTCCACCGATCCCTTCGCCCACGTACGCCTCCGCCCCGTAAACGACGCCCACTCCATCGTGTGAACAACTCTCAACGACGACTACATACTACCTTACCCGCCCTCGCCGGCTCCCTGCAAGCTTTCTTAACCAGGCAAAGGCAAATCATCGTCTGTACCATAAGGCGCGTTTGTGATCTCCTCGCTTAGATACACAAAGGTCGACTGGGCGAATAGCCTCAGTCTCTATATCCCGGCCCATGGACATCTACCGTCATGGCCTGGGCAACATGATGCCACGAAACCCGCCCTACCATCACCACCCGCCTCCTAACGCTCCTCCCCAACTCTACCCGGGCCCTTCCCGCGCTCCTCCTACCAGTCGCGAAGATCCAGAGAGTGACGGGCCCTCCAATCGTATTGCCCACACTCTGACGGCTTGCTGCCGCTGCCGCCAGGTATGTCGGAGCCTTTCCCCGTAAACCCGGCGCCTCTTCGTGGGCTTTCGACAAGTGAAGATGCAGATGGCCTTTCGTAGACCACGGCTGACTTGTTTAATTCTGTAGCGTAAAACAAGATGCGACCCTACTCTACCCCGTTGTCTCCCGTGCGAACGCGCCGGCTCGGTTTGCGAATACTATGATACTACCAAGGGAAAGAAGATCAACCGTAATTATGTCATTAAGCTGCAAGAAAAGGTGCGCGCCCTTGAGGCCGAGCTACGCCAGTACACCGACGACGACAGCGAGTTCTCCCATCTCGACGAGGATATTGTGCGGCCCGGCGGCCTGGTTCGCCTGAATGATACCGACGAGACTCCCCGCTACCTGGGTCCGAGTAGCGGCATCGCGATGACACGCTTGCTGGTTCAGGGCGCAAAGCTCTTTACCGACTCGAAGCGAATCTCCGAGTTGATTCCCGAAGTTCGAGCGCGGAGGATGACGCGCATGCAGTCCATCGTCATGACGAGGGATCGAAAAAAGAGTTATCCCATGATCAGCGCTCACCCTGCCCAGAGCCTGCCGACTAGGCCTATCGCCAATAAGCTCGTGGATGTCTTTTGCCAACGATGCAAGTGCCCCTCTTCCTCGTTCTCGGCTTAGTCCTCGACTGACTTTGTGAACAGCCCAAGTATTTTGGCCAACGTTGCACGAGAAAATGTTCTTGGACGACCTAGAGGCAGTGTATGCCGGTGACCAAGATCCCTACAAAAACCTCATCGTCCGCATGGTATTTGCAATCTCGCTGCAAAAGATGGATCCTCAGTATGCCGGTCTGGCCGACAGCTACTATTTGGCTGCCATGGAACACTTTGAGCAAGTGTCCCGGCCAAAGGATCTCAAGTCTCTACAGAGTTTGGCGCTCATCGGCCAATACTCCCTTTTGACCCCCACAAGAACCGCCGTATACTACATGGTTGGCATGGCCACGCGGGTTTGTCAGGCAGAAGGCTTGACTGATGAGAAGACCATTGGCGCCGGGAATCTCCTGGACCCCTTGACCCTGGATATGCGCCGCCGTCTTGCCTACATCATCACTTCTATGGAAGCTGGCCTAGCACACAGCATGGGCCGACCCAACGGATTCTCCAAGGCTGACGACCGGATGGATGTGGAGCCATTTGCGACTGTGGACGACGAGTATATCACGGCCGACGGCATTGGCCAGGGGCCTCCAAGCGAGAACAAGCTGGTGGCTTTGCATTTCTTTAAAATGCGCATGGAGCAGGCCGAGATCAGGAGAGTGCTCTACGAGAAGAAGCGCGAAGAGCCCAGGGATGAAAGCCACCCCTGGTTCGCAAAGATGGAGAGAGACATTCAGAACTGGATCGATTCTTCACCTCAGAATCCGGCTTGGTGCAGGCCATGGTGTGTACTGATTCCCTCCATTACGAGACTTTTCTAACCAATTGTCTGTAGGTTCACTGGACGTTACCACCAAATGCGGATTTTCCTCTACCGGCCATCCCCGCAAGTACCCAAACCATCTCCACGAGCTGCGGGCATCTGTTTCGAAGGGGCATCATACATCATCAACTTGTCGAAGCAGCAGATGGAAAAGGCAGCAGTCGATATTACTTGGGTGTTCCTCCTCAACCTCTACATGTCTCTCAACACACTGCTCTGGACGGTCTCGTATCCCGAGATACGACAGGCCCACCCCCGTGATGAGGTGGAAGAGTTGAGTGATCAGACGTTGGATATTCTGGAGCGATGCACTGAGCGCTGGCCGGGGACTGCTCAAGCTGTGCAGCTCTATTCCATCTTTGCCAAGGCATGTCTCCAGAGCTATGAGGCCAGAGATACCCCTATCCTGCAAGCGTCGAGTACTTTTACGACGCCTCCTTCTCTCTTTGATGGCAACTCTCCTCAAGGCTCAGAGGTCTCGGCATCAACAGCGCCAGGTGGTGGACCGACATTCAAGGTTAACCCACCGCACAACCCACCACAGTTTGGCTTTGTTTTCGATGCTACCCCTGAGTCGATGAACACATACCAATGGGATCCCAACTTCCCCCCTCACCCAACGTTCCGTTCCAACTCGATCTGGGGCAACTCATCTGGCGATGCTAATCCCAACATGAATCCGGGCGGTCGCCGCTTCTCTGCCTACCCTCCTGAGTCTCCACTGGAAGACTCTACACCGCCGGCGACGACCACACCCGGTTATAATTCATCCTCATCACCTCCTAGCACCATCAACAACGCCATGCCCACACCTCCAGACTCGTTCAACAGCGGCCCTGTAGGTACGCCATCAAGCTCGACCATCTCACCACCCCCGATGGGAACTCCGGCCATGTCACAATCCTCGCCACTTGTTCTTCAGCACGGAACACCAACCATGGTTCAGCACAGCACGAACATGTCGCCGCCTCCGCCGCCTGTTCCTGGAAGTAGAGGACCTGGTGGATTTGGTGCACCACCGACATCGAATCCCGGTGCGCCACAACGCCCGCTGCCGAATTATAATCCAACAACGGACTGGTTTAATCCGCCGCCTCCGTTTATCAATCCCGACGCCTTCAGCTCGATGAGCAACAGTTTCTTTGGCGACTCGTTGCAGGTCAATGGCTTTAACTCACAAAACCCCGGCTTGGGGCTTGACCAGTTCGGCGGTCCGTTCAATTGGTCACAAGAGCGACAAGGTAGTCTGAGCCAGCAACAGCAAGTGGAGCTATTGAATGTCCTGGAGAATGAGGGCATGAGCGATATCGATGCCATTCTCAACATGGGCATGAACAACCCGAGCCCCGCCGCGAGCGTCTGGCCACAAGCATGATTTAGTCCGTAGGAATCTGGAAAAGGGGGAGAGCAAATAGCAGTGTGTTTGTTTTGGGTATTGGCGTGTGTGTATTATATACCGTATACCAAGGAGTCACGGGCGGCGGGAGGTTTTGAATTGATTTTGCGGACAGCGGTTGCAGCGATGCGCCTCCGCATGGTAGGTATAGTGGACAGTCATGGATCATGATTTAACAATAGAAAGGCGTAAAACTCGTCGTCACATTTTGATATACAACTGCTAACGCGTGCTGTAATCGGCGATTTTGATGTTGAATGAAGTTGAGACGAGTGATTGGATCGAGACAAATCCCCGTTGCCAGATCAGCATACTTTTCATGCCCTTTTGTACTACTATGGACTCCTTGACTTGGATGAATGTGGCACCGAAGATGACTGTATAACTCATGGCTATGGAAAAATTCCTGCGACAAATTATAGGAGCTAGGACTTGGAGCTGGTCTTTACTATATATGTAACATCTAGGGAGTCGTGTTGAATGTAAAGGGGCTCGGTCAATTTCGAAGCACCTCAAGAACCGATTTTTAGTAAGCGAATGATTTGATTTATATACTGATACACCAGGCGTGAGAAGCACGCCCGGTGTGTGAGAAAATGGTTGAGAATATGTACATGAAATGTGTGTTCTTCGTTTCGACAAATTCCAAGAGAAATGCAGACAATGCGAAACAGAGGGGACGCTTTCATCGAGTTCCGTACCCTCCTTTTTATCCCTTTCACATATGCTTCCCTTTATAACCCCTTTGTATCCCAATCTTTCAACTCGTCACTGGCAAGAGGCTACCGCAAAGGGTGTCGGTCCGCTTCTTCAAGAGCCCATCTAGAGACATTGGCTGTACCACTGGTTGACGACGGTGCAAGTGCTGCCAGAAACGCAAGCAGTAGCTCCAGTCCACCCTTGGCCACCACATTGGCCGTACTTGGCGACGGTACCGGTAGCGGGCGCGGTAGACGACGTACGGACCGACGTAGTAATGGTGCTGGGGCGGGCCGAGGTGGTAGTGGTACCGGTTCCGGGGTTAACGACGGAGCCCGAGGCGAAGGTGGAGTTGATGGGGCCGAACTTGATGTTGGAGAACTTGACGTTGGAGTTGGGGACGCTGGCCTCGATGTCGGCGGGGACGCCAGAGGTAGTCGGGCACGAGCCGCGCTCGGCGCCGGGCTTGCCTGCGCCGTCGACGGGGTAGGTTGAGTCCAACCAGAGCATGTTGGCGTAGTGGTCGTCCCAGAGCGACAAGACGAGGACCATGGGCGCGGCGACGGCCTCGGACATCTTGGCGAAGCCGCCCTTTGCCTTGAAGACGTCGGTGTCGCCAAAGGCGAGCTTCTGCTTGGTGCAGAAGTCGGTGGTGAGGGAGTTACCCGGGTTCGAGGCGATGGTGGACTCGGAGTTGGGGACGACCTTGCCGTTTTGGACGTAGAAGCGCTTGATCTCGGACAAGACGCCGTCGGAGCCCTTGATGAACTGGGTGACGATGGAGAGCTTCTGGGTGGTGTCGAGGGTGAAGCCGGAGCCGGGACCGTAGAAGAGCTTGTTGCCCTGGCGGTAGGAGTTGAAGTCGCATCCATCGGGGTCGCAGTCGCCGGCGTAGCGGTCGGTGGAGTAAGTTCCGCCGCAGGCGTTGCCTGTGCAGGAGTGGTAGGCGCTGTTTTGGCAGGGGTGAGGGGTGTAGGCCGTGGAGATCTTGTTGGCCTCTGTGAGGGTTGTTAGTTATTTGTTCATGTTGATGTGTAGTAAAGGGGTGGTGAAAAGGGGGTAGAAAGGGAGAAGACTTGCCCCAGATATCCATCTCAGCGCAGCAAGCACCGAGGTTACCGACACCACCGTTGGCGTCGTTGCTGGAGGGGTTCCAGCCGTCGACATTGGCCTAGAAGTTTAATGTGAGCTTTTGATATATGAGTTTGAAAGTAGGAGTTGTGACTTACAACACCGTTGATGAACTTGACATCGCGGGGGCACTGCGAGTCGCAGTATCCGGTACCGTACTTGGCACCAGCCTTGTTGGTAGAGAACTTAGACAGACCACCGTCGAGGTCCATGGAGACGAAGTAAAGAGCGCCGTTCAAGCCGCAGCCAATGTTGGAAACATCGACATCAAAGGTGAACTCGTTGCCTGGTCAAAGTCAGTCTTCGAACATCAAGATCAAGACCATAGGGGTTAAGTCACCTAAGAGTGTGAAGGCTTGATATTTCGATTCGCTCTCCATGAGGTAAACACGGCTACCAATGTTCTTTCCATAGGCGTGCGTAGTCACGAACTTGAGGTTAAGCTCGTTGCCGCTGGCGGTGATGCCGTAGGTGCCCGGGTAGTCCGCGCCGTCAACACAGCACTTTGTCGCACAGGCCGCGCCCTGCCCGCTAGCGCAGAGGGTGTCGTTCCACGTGTTGCCCGTGTAGCAGTTTGTCGAGCCCTCGACGGTGTGCGCCCATCGCCAGTTAGAGTCGAGGACGACGGAGCCGGCGACGTTGGTGCAGGTGCCGCCAGCGGCGCACTTTTGCCAGGTGAGGGACGGGTGGGTCTCGGCTTGGGAGGTGCAGACTTGCTGGGCGCGGGCGGCGGCCGCGAGGGCAAGGAGGGCGGCGAATTTGGTCTGCATTGTGAATGCTTGGACTGTGGTGGTGTTGAGGGAGGGAAGGGTGATTGAGATGAGGATGAGAGGGATGGGGAATGGGATTTCTGGATGAGGAGATCCGTTAGACTTATATAGAAGCTTCTCAACAGTCTTCGACGATACTTTGCCATCGAATTTCGAGTCTTTCGCCTCTTCTGCAGCCGCGTTCCACTCTTCAAGCTTGGTTCGATGTGACATCCAACCCCATGATCGACTAGTCTAGCGACGAGAGGAAGCGAAGATCCGAAGGAGCTCACGGCATCCGGGCCGCAAACGATCTGGAACCCAAGGTACCAGCTGGACTTGAAGTGACCATGATCGAGGGGTCCACCTACACCCATTGACTTAGACTCGGCAGCCTGGGTGGAATGGAGCATCGAAGGAGAGGGGTAGCGCGTGTAAGTGCCAGGAACCACGATGCGTCGTCGTCAACCCAAAGTTTATGCTTTGCTTGCCCAAATAGGCAATTGGAGAAACTGCACCGCATTTCTTTGATTTTGGGGTAAGCCGCAAGGTACAGACACTGACTAGCCGAGTGGGTGGCCAGAGAGTATGCCGGCCAACACATGAGCAACACCCTTTCCTATCACATCTACCTTCATTATTCTTCCCCTGCTAAGCTTCTGAGAATATATTACTAACGGAATAGTTAGAGAGCAAAGAACTGAAAGCATAGTAGTAATAATAAGAATGCTCATAGTAGTAGGAATAGAGACTAAGGATGTATGAGCGTCGAACCATTCTGCCACCCTCTTGCCAGCACAAGGTATGTTGACCCCATACCCGTGGGCTTACAGGTTCTCGCCCTCAGTCCCGAGCCAGGGAGAGAAATGACACGATGTCACATCCGGCCATGCGGCTGGTCACACACTCACACATCCCGTTCTCACTACGGAGAACCGGGTCGCACAGAAAACGAGTGCCATGTGTGTGTGTGAGAGGAGGTGAGTTGAGGTGGTGGTAAGTTTCTCGTCCCAATTTGGACTTGTCCCCGCGGCTTTCCTCATTGGAGCACTTTTCTTACCCCTGCGCATAGCACGGAGGCCTTGCGCCGAGTACTACGCGCCTCGAATCGTCACAAAAGAGAGAAAAAATAGAAGGCTTTTTTGACAGAGTGGGAGGCCGGTATCGTGGGATGGCATAACCTGAATCATCTCGCATGAGGAAGAAGGAAAAAATTGTGCATCCCTCGTGATCATGATGGCTCCCCGAAGATCCCGAAAGACTTGGTCCGTTGTTAGTCTAATTCCACCCAAGTTCCCCTGAGTGAAGTCTCACTCTCACTCACACATGTTTTTCACACTACCATGGGAGCTATTTACCTTACCTTAAGGATGCGGCTTCAAGACCCCTTCTAGTGATTCGACTGATAAGAGAATTAGAGATACGCGAAGTGTTCTTTTAGGCATCTCGCTCCCCGCAATTTGCAGGGATCGCCCGCCTCCAGGCTCCCCGACTTTTGTGTTTGCACATCATGAGCGGGAAGAGAGAACCTTCTCCCCGCATAACGCTATTAGCCATTCCGGCACTGACTGCCACGCGCCCGCTCTTGTTCCTTGCTTGTGCGGAGAGAGAGTGAGAACGCCACATTTTTCATTCTTTGGGACGCCGGCAAGGGTCGAATCTCCGTGGTATTCAGACATGTCGTTGACGAGAATTCGTCGTTGAACATTGACGTCGTCAAGCTCTTTCGACAAGCGAAGCGGCTCTGTTCTGCCAATATGCTGGGCCCCAGCTTGGCTCTCTAAACTTTACGTACTTGATTAATTGATCAACGCTTTCAATCAATGACAATTAATGCCTACCAGACCGATGGGTTCAGAAACAAATTGGTGCGAGATTCAATGGAGCCCTGATTCAATTTGGAGGCGGGAGGTGCTGTCCCATATTGCATGCGTTAAGAGCAGGGCCTGCCACCACACCACTTGTGACTGGTCACGTTGCCTCTCTGCAGGTGTGTGTGTGTGTGTACATGTATGTTTGTGTGTGTATGTGGCTGAAGAGACTGCGGTATTGCGGTACTGCGGTACGGATATTATGGGAAATCCTTTTCTTGGTCTTCATCACGGTGCGATGTTACTCAATGACAATCCCGGTTCCGACGTTGAGCGAGGAAGAAACCCTCGCGAAGCCAAGATTCTACCGCCGAGAGACGGAACGGCCCCACGTCGCAACTTGCCAAGAGGGCTTTTGAATTTACCCGTGATGACCAGAGAACTAGAGTTCCTGGGCGAGCAAGAAGCCAAAAAGCTTGAGAAGCTTGAGCTCAGCCTCCAAAATGTAGCAGTAACAATCCGTGGCAAAGGTCCAAAGCGTTCACCGAATTAGGTGGTGATCAGCATTGGTAGCCGCGACAAATTCAACGACGTCCTTTAAAAGACCATCTCGCTCTGATCGTCTAGGACCTCGCTGACAATGGCTACACAAGCGAGGAGGCTTTGGTAGCCGAAGGACATCCGCCCCTGGAGCATGGATTTCCGAAAGGCCTCAAGCGAAGATAGATCTGAGGGATCTTCGCTGCGTCGTATGGAGATGGCTGCGAGAAGTCAGGTACTGATGAGCTGTTTTCCCCTTTGCGTACATCCGAATCGAGACCATTCCGGTGTCTAGTAGCATGCTTAGGTAGTCATGCTGTCTTGTGGAGCATCACTTGCAGCTATCGGGACATGAGCAGCTTCGAAGCCGAAGCAATGAGCCTCGTGGGGTCCCATTAGCTATTCCTGGAAGTCCCACGACAACTTGACGAGGAGCTACTGCGGCTGCTGAGCCGACTAGCTGGGCTGTTCGGCAACAAAGGGAACGAAAGCCGTGAGCGCTTGTAGGAGGTGCCTTATCGTAGGCACACACAGACTACACACACACACAATCCATCGTGAGGTTGCAATGCATAGGTGAAATGAACTACCCTCCTAGATCTCGGGCCCGTCTTCCTGGACTTTCATGTGGTCGTCCTGAAAGCTCAGGAACATGAAACCCTTCCCCTTCGCAGTTCGCACCCGTCATCGTCAGCACCAGCCGGGCCGCCGCAATATAGGACAGCTTCGAAATGAAGCCGGAAATGAGCGGGATGCGACAGAGACCCTTCCCTCGCGTAAACGACAGATCGGTGGGTAGCTGGTGTGGCTGGCAATATCGCAGTTCGCCTCCTTTGAGGGAGTGAGACGGGATGAACGTCGTCAACATCCGATGAACGCAAACGCATCTCATCTGATGAGGGTGAGAGAAGCGCAGGCAGGTTCCGCTTATCGCCAACGAGTCAAATCGTGTCCGAACATATCCAACGGAACCTAGAACCACCGCGAATGTCGGGCGGTGCCCAGCACATCGACGCGCAAAGCTGACTCTGGTTTCCCTCTTTCAGCGATGAGAGCCGGGCGCGAGCTTGGTATCGAGCGCCTTCGGGCGCAGCTCAAGCTACGCGGATCGCAACTCAATGGGTCGACAAAGCATCAACCTCAAGTCAGCCCCCATCGGCTGGCCAGCCGTCCTTCTCAAAGAGTCCTCTTTCCAAGCTGCCTGCGGAATCTCATCCCATGGTGGAGATGGCGGAGTCACTTGACCATGCGCAGAGTCCTCCCCTTCGGCATAGGCGCAGAAGCGAGCAGCCACTTTCCCCCACTACCACCACCACTACACGCTCGTCCCAGATCTGTGATACGCGCAGATATGAAAGTGACGGGCAGGGCGAGGCGATGCCGCCTCACAGGCCAGCCTGGAAGTCAGGTACCGCCCGGAGAAATCCCAGTGACTCGTCCCCAACTCGGCATACGAGGGTCGAGAGGAGGGCTGTTTAGCCAGTCGGTTTCTCCACGTAGTACCCAAGTTTTGGAGCAGAGGTAGGACACACGGTAAGGAATAGACGGGAAGAGAAGAAGAACAAGAGCCCAACTCTAACTCTACCTTACCTACCTTACCCCATCGAAAGGGTTTACCCGGTGACATGACATGCCAACAAGGGGAAAGCGTCAAGATTTTCTGTGGGAAAAATTGCGGAGGCTGACGGTCGAGGAGCTCCGTGGTTTTTCTCGTCCCGATTCGGCATCTCTGGTCTTTCCTTTGCCACGACGTCGCACTCGCTGGCCGTTGGGCAGGGAAACATGTGGCCTGGCGCTGGCCGCGGGTATTCGCCGTATTATACTTTCTTGAGCATTTCGGAAATGAGTTCGGAATAACGGACGGTTGTCGGGAAGATGAGTGACCTTCACGTGTTTCTTTTGAGATGAAGAATGAAAGCTAGAGGGGTGTTTGAGAGATGAAAAGATCGAAGTGGTCGAAGTGAGTGAGGGGACTGTGTAAGCTGTCTCTCATACAGTAAACTGCACACAGTACGCTTAATCCAGTTTCGAGTTGCGCCTCTACTCACGATGTCATCTCACCGTAGGTTATTGCGAAATGCTGGCCCATAGAATGCTTGTCTGTGTGTATATTGGATCTCTACACATAGTCTACAATACTTCCCCCTACGACAAAGGGACACCTCGACCGTAATTAGCCCGAAAACAACTGGAATATCGCGCAACCCTGCTCGCAGCCGGACTCCTTTGACTGCCCTGCCCAGTAGGCCAGGGCCAGATTATCCCCAGTAAAACGCCTGCCTGCCAGAACCGCCGCCTGCGCATCATGTACACAAAGAACTGGTCCACAGCGCACAGTTCTCCTCCTACATCATCCGATGCGTCCTTCACACCGGATCATGTCTCTCTTTCTCTTTCTCCCTCCCGTTTTCGCCCTGCTTTCTAGATGGTACCGACGTCGCCGCCCATGAAATGACAAGTGAGGAGCTCCATGTTGTTCTCTCACGCCGTTCGGATGACCGTAAGATGCATATTCTTGGTTTGGCGCGGCAGCTTACCATCCCGCTCGTACAGCAATCCACAGTTCTGGCATAGTGACTATTTCTTCCGTTAGCCCACACATCGTCTTCATTGCCAAATTGGTGACTTACCCGTGGCCCTGCAGGTCCAGGTCTCACCGCCCACACACTCGAGCCCCAGAGACAGCAGTGCCAGCATCTCCACGATAAGCGCTCCGTGTCCGTCAAGCCGCTGCCTGCACCATATCCGGATCCCACGTCTGGCGTTCCGCGTCCGCCAGGGGTTCCAGATCGGCCTATCGGGCTCAGGCTGCGGAAGCGACGCTTCTTCTTGGACCGCTCGCCTCTGCCCATACGTTCTTCTTCCGGAGCTTCCACTACATTGCCGAATCCAGAGAATGGCACACCGCCCACCAGGCCAGTAGTTGAGCTGAAGCGAGCAGTCTCGCGGCGGAGTCTGCGAATTTGCCGTTCTCTGTCGCCTTCTCGCTTCTCCATCTCTTCCTTGCTGAGGATCTCGACCTTGGGCTCCCAGGGATCGGCTAGGCTCTCCGGATCGTAACGCCATCCGGCATCAGCTCCAGCCGTGGCATCGTTGGGGAACTCGCGTACTCCGTTCCAGCCCATCACCAATCCACCCGCTTCACACGCCTCTTTCTTAAGGCGCAATACTGCTTCGTAAATGGAATGCGTGACGGCAGGAACCCACTCGCCCGTTAATCCAAGGTCTTGACATGTTTGGCTGGCAAAGGCCTCCGGCATGCCTGGGGGGTGCAGCAGAGACCACTCAAACTTGTCGGTATACAATGCTGACTGGAGGTTGATGTTGAGAGTGACAATACATCGGTAGGCGTCGTCGTGGTCATACTCGTCCGAGTCAACAGGAATAGGGCTTGCGTGGGCTGTAACATCTGGTGCTGATGTCGCGTCCTTGAACCGGGATGGCGTTCCGATGCCGCCGTTCAGCATTGGAGTGTCGGAGCGGCTGATTACAGCGGCAGGAGTGGGCGTCTCGTCCTGGTTGATCATTGAGTTCGGCTTGGTGGCGTCGTTGATTCCAGAGTTCTGCGACTGCGCGTGAAACAAGGGATGCAGGGCAACGCCGGCATACTCCTCAAGCTGGGTCCGAATCTGCCTGGCAATGTCGAGCATCAGGTTGTGACGGTTCGGCAAGTCGAGGTCTTGCACGTATGTTTGCGCGAATTGTTCAGTCGTAATGACCGTCTCGTGGAGGTTCCAGAGGAAGGTATCGCGAAGCCGGTAGGGCGGCGTCATTTCTTGTGCTCGGTATTGCGGGAGTGATGTGTCGACGGTGTGAGGCGCCGAGGGAAAGGCGACCTGGGGCAAGAAGGACGGAATATCGAGTTCGATTCGGATGGGGATCAAGGTCAAAGGCAGATCTGCTTGCGCCGAATTCTGCTGGTCATTCCGCACCTGGCGTCCCTTGCCAAACCAGTCTCTCCAAATACCCTGTACTTCGACCGGCTCGTCCGTGTCCTTTCCAGCCTTGTCCAGCAGATCCTGGCTGATTGCCGAATCGTCCACTCTTCTCAGGCTGCGCAGGCCAGTAGGGCGACGACGGCCGCTGTCCTCGTCATCGTCAATTTCATCGTAGCCGTCTTCTGCGTAGTTGATGATGGTCGTGCCGCGCTTTGTCACCCGGGAGTTAGTCGTGGCCGGAGCGCTGGCAACGTTCGGGGTCAGGAGAGAGTTGTTGTAGGCGCGGATTCGAGGCGCATAGGTAGACAGGAACGCCTGGGGCTTCGGTCGGGCGTCCATGGTGGGAGACTATGAGACCCAATGGGTCATGGCAGGTTGTCGCAAGACGATGGGCGGCGGAGAAGTGGCCGGGGACACTTCGAGGGAGAGACGAGACGAGACTGCGCGGATCGGGGCAATCGTTGAGCACGCGCAAACACGAATTGGCGTTTCGTGTAACTCTGGCGATTGACGTTGCGTGCGTGTGGAGCTATATCGCCGGATGCCTCGTTGCGCGCCGATGGAACTATTCGTGGTGTTGAGGCTGGAAGGGGAGCGCTGCACCGATTATGAGATGTGGATCGCGTTGGAAATGCATTGGAGAGCAACAGGGCGCGTCAGAAAAATCAGGTCGGCGTTTCCCGACCCAGGCCCAGCTCCAAAGGGGTTTAGCACGAGAGCCCCACATTGGGACCAGGAGGCTCACCGAGGTCACCGAGATCTCTCGGTCAGGTACACCGAGCTACCAAAGTTCACCGTCAACTCAAAGACAAGGAATTGTAAAATAGGCAGCTGTTCTCGCAAAGAAGCACTTTCAGGATGTCTTTTTCGGTTCTTAATCAAGGTGATTGTGCCTTTTCCAATGGAACGATGTCTTTGTGCAATCGTCACAAGGCGACACAGTCCAATTGTTGCAACTCGCTGGAACCCGCGCACGGTGAATTAGGAGTGCTGGAAACTACATCATGCTATTCGATAAATATCACAGACAATTCCTCATCAAGAGCAATATTTTTCATGATAGATGTAAATACCCACGGACTTCTGGACAACAGCAGAATAAAGAGAATAATAACACAACACCCGAAAACTCGAGACTATCCCTAAAACACAAACTTACGGGAAGAAGATCAGGAAACTGAAGAAAATGGACAGGATCCAGCAACCCAGTGGCAGCCATCAGTTGAAGGTCCGATTTGAGCTTCAATTTCTCGTTCAAGGCCCCGATAAGGAGGCATCGTCACTGGCGGCATGTCGGTCCCCAAACGCCAGCATCGTTGACCGTATAATCAACGCAGGTGTGATCGAAGAAGAACGGCAAGACCTAGCCCTCATTATTGCAAATTGCCTCCACCATATAGACCTGCCTACCGCAATTGACACCACAGATGATGCTGGAAATCATCAAGGCTCTGACCTAGGTGCCTGGAATATCTCGTTGGACGAGCAAGAGCTCAACTTACACGGGTCCCCAAGATGGCATCTCGCCAGTATTCGTTCTCCGCCGATGCCCATGACCCCACAGACATCGGCTATAATCATTTCAATATGTTCCGCTCTTAAAGCCTTGAAGAATCTCACCATCGCCTTAAACGAGATTCCCCGCCTTCGCGTTGAAGTCAAGCCCAACGAGCGTGACTTCACCCTCCCAGAGGTCCGTCGTATCCTCACCTTTCTCTGGTCCGCTTCACCTCGTCTGAACCAGCTGCATGCTCTATACTGCGGACCAGGCTCACTCGTTGCTCCAGGTCTCGAATTTGCACGTATTTTCAGCACCGATTTGCACGCCTTCCTTTCTGATGCCGAATGGCGCGGTAAGCCCACCGAAGCCTTCTTCACCCGTGGTCTACCAATTGCTAACAAGGTCAACATGCTCGAACCACCCTCCATCCGCGGGTCAGACATAGAAAACGAAGCAATTATCCGAGTCAACACCACCGAAAGCTTCAAAGATATCATGCATGGCACCGAGATCCATGTCAGGGACTGGGAAGGTCAACCCGGTATCTTCCCTGGCGCCTACGACTTCTCTAGGCTCATCGAAAAAGACCCTATGAAGAGAACCATAGGATTTTCGCAGCATGCCGGCACGCTGGACTCCGCCGCCATCGAGAACTGGATCAAGGTATGCCACGGCATTGTCAACTTTTGCCTGAACGAAACTGAGGACCGAATAGAACGTTTGCTTGAACGGTTGAAACAGCCCAATTCTGCGTTTGAATTCTCTGGTTCGTACACAACAACTCAATTTCTTGAAGATATTGACCTCCATGAACAAGCAGCATACTATGAACTTCTGAACCGGACCCCGTTCGTTCCGGAACTTGACACTCACCGCCTCCGCAAACCCGCCATCAACCTCGAAGACGACGGAGACTTGTCCCCGTACACCTTCGGCATCGAACTTGAGTTCCTCGTTCCTTTCACCAACACCAAACATACTGGCAAAGACACCAAAGACCAGCGCTGGGTCTACGACCATTTCACTCCATATGTCATCCCAAGTCCGAGCAGGCCCACTACGCAGAATGAGCGCGACGAGCTGGCTGATCTGATGGATAAATACCTCGGTACGCAACCCAAAGACGAGCGCGGCCAGGCTCACGACGAATCAGCAAAACATCTAGAAACCATACTCTGCGACGCAGGCCACTTTAGCGCCACGTTCGACACTATCTTTGGCCTCCAAGGTAAGTTTGAGGGCAAGGTCTCTATGCCCGGAATTCAATCTGTCGCAGACGTCGCGGGATGTCACCTTCACTTCTTCGAAGATGTCCTTGCAGAGTTCCAGTGCTGGTATATCGAGAGAGATCCCAGCCTTTCGGATTGGGCTTCTGGTGAAAATGGATACGCCGGGCACATCGGGATAGAAATGTCCAGTCCCGTGATGCGTGACTCGCCCAAAGATTTCGGCAAGATAGTCGACGTGCTGAGGATTCTCCGTGGCGGGCTGAGGCCGATGCTGGACATCAGCTGTGGTCTCCACGTTCACGTAGGTAGCGTTCGCGGCTTTTCTCTCCGCAGCTTGAAGCGCATCGCCACATTGATTATGGTTGCTGACCCAATTTTATACACCCTCGTTCATCCGTCGAGACAGTGGAATCCCATGACGGAGCCTCTCCATCTCGAAGCGACTGTCGCAAAGGCCGAGGATTTGCCCGACTACACCGCAGCGTTTGCATTCGAGGACGCAGATGACAAGTCGGAAAGTAACCCCCTCCAGGTGGTCATGACCAAGGTGCTCTTGGATTTAGAGGCCAACGTCCCCATGAACGACTTGCCCCGGAAGCTGCGGGGTCAACTGGCCAAGATCTGGGCTACGGATAGTCTTGCCAGCCTTCTAGGCCAGCTCGCCCCGTTCCGTGGATGCAAGGGCGGTACCGCCTTTGGCGCGCTCAAGTGGGATTTTACGAAGCCGAGCAACGACCCGCGAGTGAGGGGAACCATCGAGTTCAGAATGCTCGAGGGCACGCTTGATCCGGTGCTCATCACCCACTGGACTAAGCTGCTTCTCAGGATTGTGGAAAGAGGGGACGCTGCGACCACGAAGGAGTACTTTCAGGTACTTTCTACCCTTGCTGAGGGGCGTGAAAGTGCGAAGGAGAATCTTGCTGCGTTGTTGGGTTCACTTGGCCTTGAGAAGCACCTGCCGTTCTGGAGCAAGGTCTTGGAGAAGAATCAAGCTTTGGACGTCGAACTAGAAGAAAACGATTATGGGAGGAAGATCATGCCTGAGGATTGGGAGTTGCCCATATATCGAGACACGGAAGGCAATAGGCAGGAGTTCGAACGCAGCTGGTATGAGCGGAACGTCATCAGACTCCCAGAGCTTGACGAGGATATTTGGGACAGGATCATAGATATTCTTTGAATTGATAGAATCTTGAGGATAGATGCCACCTGTTAGCAACATGGAGTGTTTTTTCAAAGACGGACGTGTCCATATGCCACGTCTTCCGTACCTATGCCTGGCCTCCTCAGAGAGCTAGACTAACCGTAGAGATCCCGCTGCCACGAGCAAACATTTTAGACAGACTGCCATACCACATAGTTTGCTTCCACCAATATAATTGGAAAGCAGCATGCTGTTTCAAATGCTCTTCTATGTAAGGAGTCAATTGGTTGCTCAACATGGCCACCAAATTCCTCGAACAACCATACTCAAACCGCCCACTACCCTACAACGGCTTTAATGCTATACCTTACTTCCAACTGCTGAAATCAAATTGTCCCTTACGTAACCGCTCCTTCTTGCTCAGGAAGAGGCGATTCACTTTAGGCAACAAAGGCAGGGCCGTGCGGTTGTGGATTACACTGTGAGCCTAGCCCACACCGCCCGAGGAAGAAGGAGCGTACGGGCAGGCTGATGAGCCCACATCAACAATGCGTGCAGAATAGTTGTGATTCGACTTTGCAATCGCGAGATATCATTATTGAACGTCATCTGGGACATGTTTTACAAGAGCCAAAAAGAGTCGGCGGTTGGGTGGTGTTGTGGTTGTAGGGAGCGCCCAGGGATGTAAGCCACTGTGCCTAAGGCAAGGGCTCATCACCACAGCTCATGACAGCTCTCACAAAATGGCACCCTGGAGTCTCCCAGGACTGCTGCATGATTGATATGTTGCACAGGCATGAAAAACTGCACGTTTGTGCGGGGTGTCTTTGTCGCTGACCACGTCTGGGGATCACCTTGAGTACATACGCAGTGCAACCATGCTCCTGCCCCCAAAGCTTGGCCTCACTAAGTTTCCACTCTTCCCAGATAGATTCCACTGAATTCGAATCACGTGCTTTCACTTCTATGATATCCAGGAGTTGTCAAGGGAGGAAGGAACGTTCTTGCAGCTCAGATACCTGCCAAGCAGCAGTCGAGATCATGGCCTTCGGCCCCTCCGGTCTGGTCTCTCATTTTCAGCTGTCGTGCTTCGGGGAAGATTCCGAGATGGCTTGTCATGTTGCTTCATCTAGATTGCATTACGGTCAGGTCAGCTCTACATCATTGGTCTCTCCATGTTGTGTCGCCCCCCCAGTCCTTCATGTGTGCCCCAGGGAAGATGTGCTAGTTTCCCCTGAAAGACTCTGGCTCCTGCGTTCAAGTCTTTTGGTATCACCACCATCGTGAGAATCTCGGAATCTCTACCTGCCATCTTTGCCTGTCGCCATTGGAATCACTCTGGATGGGAAGGACAAACCTGTTGGAAGTATGGCTGCGATCCTGACACCAACTCGATTCTTTCCGAATTGCTCTTGCCGCTGGAATACTTTGAAATTGACTTCCAGACGAGAAACTTGCTCAATGGAAGGTACGGGACTTGGGGCTCCTTCCTCTACTTCTTGAGCCCTCCATCCTGAGCCCTTATATAAACCCGCCCTCTCTCCCACCCATCACTCTCTCTTGTTCTTCCTCCCACACACGCACACTTCAATTTCTCTTCTTCTTTGATACCCAACTTCAAAGACTGTGTCTTTCTTTTCCACTTCAACCTTCCAATCCACCACTGTCTCTTTCAGGCTTCTCATTCACTTTAATCCACACACACTTCACTCTCCATCTTCCCACACACACTACACACACAACAGTCAACATGATCAGCATCAAGACTGTCGTTACCGGCATTGCTTTCGGCCTCACTGCCGTCGGTATGGTCCACGCTGGTGCCACCATTGCCAGTGGTGACGAGAACCGCGCGCTCTCCATGATCAACACTGCTCGTTCCGAGGCAGGCGCCCCTCCCATTCTTTGGGACAACAACCTCAAGGAGGACGCCGACACCTGGGCCCTTCTGCTCGCCAGACAGGGCTACATTGGCCGTGCTCCTGCTCATCAGCGCGATGGTGCTGGCGAGGTTGTCGCCTACTTCAGTTCTTTGTCCGAGGACAGCGTGCAGGTCACCAACCCTCTGGTGTCCGCTGTCAAGCTCTGGCTTAGCTTCAAGGACATGAACAACTTCCAGACCACTGTCGAGGACTACTACGAGACCCTCAGCACCACTGGTATGTCTTCGCCTCGTCTACTGACTTTCTTGTCTGACCTTTCCTGCAGAACAGCTCCTCTCTGATAAGGCTACTCACATCGGTTGCTCTACCCGCCTGGGCAAGAAGGGCCGCGCTGTCAACCCCCTCACTTCCTTCACGGTCTGCCGTGTCTACAAGGATGTCGAGTAAGTTAACCCTTCTTTCTTCTTCTTCTTCTTCCACCATCCTCTCGTAGATGCTAACACTAGCATGTTCCAGGCCCCCCGCTGTCATGGCTCGCCAGGATCTCAGCTCTGGCCCCTTCCAGGGCGACATCACCTTCTTCAATCCTGGTCTTGGCGCCTGTGGCTGGACCGACAACGACGACTCCATGATTGTTGCCATCTCTCACATCAAGATGGGCTCCCAGTCCAACGGCAACCCGCTCTGTGGCAAGACCGTCCGCATTCAAGCCGAGGGCAAGTCTGTCGACGTCAAGGTGACTGACAAGTGCATGGGATGTGCTGTCAACGACATTGACGTCAGCCCTGCCGTGTTCAAGGCCCTCCTAGGCGACCTTGGCCGCGGCCGCGTTGGTGGTGTGACTTGGACTCTTGTCTAGGTCTACCTTTCTATTCAACAACATTTCTCATGGCCCAACATGGATTGGGATTTCTGAAGGCACATTGACTTTCACCAGGACTGCATTTCTTGGGGGAAATGAGGACATGGCATAGTTATACCGTCAAGGGACGAGTAACTTAGTCTAGATATCTCCGCAATGCAGCAAAGAATCATTCGCACTTGTTGGTTCATAGTGATGCCTGTATTTGGTTTCTTCTCTTGTGGCCACCTACCACGTTGCTTGCTGGTGTCTCCTCACAAGGCTATTCAACTACTATCAGTCGTTGCTTTCCGTTCTTTCGCCGACGAGAATTGTGAGACTTGTGAAAGTTTCCTTGAACAGTAGCTGCCCAGCGTCGCTGAATGCCCGAAGCACCCCACGAGATGTGGGGAGTGACCATCATCAGCCGCTTCATCGTCATGAATCGTGGGCATTCATTTCATCTATATACATCTTTGGCCAAACTTATCTCCAGCCAAATCCCCCATCATGATGCGTATAGACACTCGTCCGTCTACCAATTACCAAGAAAGCCGCCCAAGTAGACATGCAAAAAGCAAACAAGCCGCCCATCATCAAGGATCATAACTAGGCGTACACTATACTCAAACCACACACTACACGGCAACAGTATTCCGTTGCCGGATACTCTGCGACCTCAAAAACGAAATCTGACCTCTCCGCACAGTCATATCCCCACGCGGGGACCTCATGTCGTCCTTGTCCTGCGACATACTCGGCGACAGCTCAAGCGTATTACTCCCATACAAATCGTTCGCCGACGGCGCAGGCCGCTCATCCCGCCTCACAGACAAGTAAAAGAAATCCCACCAGAAAGAATGCTCCAAATCTCTCGGCTTCCCATCAGCAGTCCAGTACCGCTCCTCCGACAACTCCCTCGACAGGTGCCTCCGGAAATACCGGTCCTGGCTGACCCACCACGCGCGCCAGGCGACGAGGATACCGATCGTCAAGGGTATGACGGTGGCCCAGTAGACCCAGAAGAGGTGACTCAGCACGGGGATCGGGTCCTTTGGGTTCGTGGAGGTGCCGCCTCCGTTGTCGCTGCTGTCTGCGTCTTCGCCCGAGGCTTGCCAGTCGAACATGGACATGCCGAAGAGGGTGCCGAGGAACTCGCCGGGGAGGAAGACTGCTGTTATTACGGCGAGGGCTTTCATTGAGGAGGAGTCGCGGGAGGAGGCGACGGCCATGCGGGCGTTGAGGACGTTATCTTCTTGGGCCATTTTACTGTAGATCTGGGTAATATTAGCTCTGCCGAAGGGGGGATTCATCTCGTAGGAAATAGTGACGATGGTAACTCACGATATCAATCTGGGCGCGACATCGGGCCTCCGACATGCGTCGATCTGTCTCGAGACCCATACACATCCGCTGCAACCCCTCAAGATACTGCCGAATCTCATGCCAATGGTTCCCCAGCGGATCAGCCAGCGGATCAGGCGCCTTGGGCAGCGACCTCCTCCTCGTACTCGCAGACGACCTCGACGGCGGGCCCGTAGGCGGCTCGTCAGGCTGGACCTGCTGGTCCTGCTCATCCCTCTGATCGGCGTCCGTCTGTCTTACGTGGAAATCGTCCAGCCGGATCTTGAGTTCCCCCGTCGACATGCGCTCCGCGAGCTCGTCGCCGGCCTGCAGCATCAGCTTCACGACCCTTTCCATCCACCGCACGGTATCGAGCAGCTTGATAGACTCTTTGAGCACGTCGTGCGCACTCTTCATCAGGTTCGCCATGCTCATCGGCCCCGCAATCTGCGGCGTCTTCTCGTTGTGCGAGGCCGCGGCCGTGGACGAGGCGAAAGTTAAGCGGCGCATGAGCTTCGAGCGCTTCTCACGCTCCATTTCGAAAGCTTCGAAGCCGGCGATGGAGCTGACTTGCCACTCAAGGGCTTTGACGTGGTTGATGTTCTCCATGACGGCCTCTTCGGTACGCATGAATTGGACTTGGAGGAGGACGACGGGGGTGATGAAGGGGTGGGCCCAGTGGGCGCGGCAGGCCTCGAGGCGCTGGTCGTATTCGTCTAGGTTCTCGAGGGAGTGCTGGCGTGGGTGGTAGGATTGGCGGACGAGGACGGAGGAGGTGCGGTTGCGGACGTCGTAGGTTAGGGACATGAAGTCGTAGGGCGTTCTTGGGTTTTTGGAGAAGGAGAGGATGAGGCCTGCCAGGTGTTAGTTGAAGTACATTGCAAGTGAGGGTGAGGAAGATGGTTGCTGGCATGAATACTCACTCAGTTTGGAGCGGTCGAGGGACCAGAAGCGGGATTCGTTTGTGACGCGGCGGGAGTACTGGAGGGTGGCGGGGTGTAGGTCCATTGCGTCGAGGTCTCTTGGGGTCATGGTGATGCCGTCTTCTCGGCGGTCAAAGGATTTGTTGCGGCGGAAGCAGATGCTGTTGCTGTTAGTCTCTGTCTGAGATGAAATACTCAATAAGGTGGGTGAACTCACACTCGTCGAACCCGTCCATCTAGAACCAACTCTGGATGCCGCACTGGCTCTTGTGTGAATACACCCTGCCATGCCGTTAGTTTCTTGAATACTAGTCTCAATTGGATCATATAGGGGAAGACTCACATTATGGTCCACAGAGTACCCATGACGAAAAGCTAGATCAAGCGTGTGGTGACCAGGTACCTCTTCCTTGTGCTGCAGCTGGAAACTGATATCCTCGTCGTCCTCTAGTCCCGTCTTGGCGCCCGAGGGGATGCCATTGTCCTTTTTGAAGACAACGTACTCGTCGTACTCGACCTTGGAGATGGCGTTGTCGTCCGAGACGAGGATGTCGTCGCGCAAGGCGAGGGTGTCGAAGCGGAACAGATCGGACGAGTCGAGGCCTTGGTAGCGGGCCATCAGGGCGTTTTGGGGATGGTGGTGAGCTGGGTGGTGTTTGACATGGCCAGGTCGTGATGCGTGAGTGAGTTGTCGTCAATTGGTGAGTGAGCCTTCAATTGATGGTGAGTGAGGCTTATTCTGTTAGGTGAATGAGGTGAGAGTCGGTGAGAGTGAGAGTGAAAAAGCGAAGTGAGTGAAATAATCATCCGCATCACCCCCCCTGGTCATTCTCTCACTCATTGATGAGGAACATGTTTTTTTTCTTCTCTCTCTTTCCGTCGGCCAGGTTGCCTTGCCGATCTTGGCGGTTGGTCGCAGGTCGCAGGCGGGTGGTTGGTGATTTTGGTGGGCCTCAATCGCGGGGGCGTTGAAGGATCGCTGCTCCGGGTGCTGTAGCCCCAGTGCCTCACCATCAGCGGCGACCCTTCAACGGCCGCCCATCGCTAATGTCGCCCAAAGTGTCGTGATTGTTGCCCCCCGTGGCCCCCTTGTCCAGTGACATGCCGGCGCTGCACCTCGCTAAAGTTTGCCTCGCCTCAGCCACCACTCAACCCCCCCCAGGGCCTCATTATGGGTCTTGGCGGGCGTTCTTGGCGGGTCTGCTGCCCGGGGTCTCGCTGTAGTCGCTGCCGGGTACCATTTTCTGGTCTGGACTCTTGCGCCGTTTGTTACCCCAAACCAAACTGCTGCGTCATTTCTCCTTCAGCTTCAAAGTAACCTTCTTCATTTCAGTTTCAAAATCATCGAATAAACACATTGAGTTTCGTTTGATCAAGATTCCCTTTGGCTAAGTAATCTAGAACAGTCGATTAGCGTCTCCCGAAACCATGGAACGGCAGCTCGGCACGGCCCAACCACCGAATAGCTTCACCCCCCCGGCCAGTTCCTCCACCCATCGGACCCTGTCACCGCCGATTCTCATCACCACCGGCGCCGATATCCGTCTTCTTCTCCACCGGCTCCTCTACCGGCCCCTGTGCTTCTTCGGGCGAGGTCGGCTGAGCTTTCGGCGCGTCTTTGCGAAGCTTGAATCCGCCGCTCCATCCGATCCAGCTCTTCTCCCGTGGACCCTTGAGCATGGTGATGATCAACGACAATCCAATGAATCCAACTATAAATCGTTAGCAAAGCCATCCGTTACCGTAGCAATGAGACGGCTCGAGGGGATCACATACTGGAGGTGCCCGCGCTGTACTTCCACCCGCCCTGCGCATACAACCTATTCCCCACCGCCGTACCTGTCAACTGCCCGCAGAACACGCATACCATGTACGCCGTGTTCACCCGGTTCCTCGCCTTGGGGTTAATGGTGTAAATCGCAGTCCGGTTGGCAGTCTGTGCAGTCTGAATCCCCATATCGATGCAAATCGCCTGGATCACGGGTCCAGCAACGGTAAAGGTACCCGTGAAAGCACCAATGATACACCCGATGAGGATGACCGTCTGCCCGAGCACAGAGGATAGCCACGGCACATATCGATCCATGATGAGACGCCCATACACCGGCCCACCACAAATCGCGGCGATACCAATCAGCGAGAACAAGCCGATCGTGATGGAGGGGTACTCATACGGCGGCGAAGCCAACAGAAACGTCAACGTCGTCCAAAAGGACGTAAAGATGGAACTAATGAAGAACCCAATCAGACACGCCTGTACCAGTATCGGCTCCGTAAACAACATCGTCACAATAGTCCACAGCGCTCTAAAGTAATTCAGCCCGTCCGGGTTTGTCGACGGGTAATCCGGCACGAAGAAGAATAGCAGGACGAGCAGCAAGTTCTGCGCCCCGAAAGAGAACCAGTAGATGTTGCGCCAGGAGGTATAGTTCGCCACGATTCCCGAGAGCAGCCGCGCGATGAGCATGCCGAGCATGAGGCCTGATGTCGTGATGGATAGGGAGCTTGCTTTGCGTTCGGGGGGTGCCATGTCTGCTACGAGCGGGAGCATGAGTTGTGGTGTTACTGTTGTAGCGCCGACGATGAAGGATAGGCCTAGGAAGGCTTGGAAGGAGTTTGTTAGGCAGAGACCGAGCCACTGGGAGGACGTTAGGATGTGGTTTGCGAAAGGTGTTGGTGGGTTTACTTACTAGCATTGCTGTCACCCAGATGAGGCCTAGGATGAATGGTCGTCGGCGTAGCATGTCGCCCAACGGGCAGATGAAGAGTAAGCCTGCTGCATACCCGGCTTGCATCAGCGTCGCGACCGATGATGCCCTCTCGAAGCTGACGTTGAATGTCTCTGCGATCCTGTTGAGGACCGGCTGGTTGTAGTACAGGTTGGCGACGGTGAACGTCGCAGCCTACGTTGTTCAGCATCTCATTCCATCATGTGTGTATGACTGAAGGTGACTTACAACCGCGAACAAAAAGTTGAGCCCGAGCGTGAATTGCGGAGGATTCTTGGGATCATATCGTAACTTCCTCGGCGTCCACGTAAGAAATCCCACCGTCGCGCCAATAAATCCCTTGCGACCACCTTTCTCGTCGCCATCTCGATGCGACTCGCAGTCTGAATTCGAAGGCGACGGCGACGGTGACCTCGTCTCATTTCCACCGCCCGTGAATACTCGCTTCTCATCGTCGTCTCCTGCAAAGCCGCCATCCTGGGTAGAGTTCGGGGCTGAATTGCGTATTACCTCCTGCGGCATGGAAGCTTCTTTTCCTTCTGCGGCAGCCACCACCGCTTCGTCGGGCCCTGCCGTTGCGCCTGCGCCTGCGCCTGTGGGCGTTGAGCCCATGTCCTTGTTGCTGGCGTCCGTGTCACCTCTGCTGCGTTCAGCAGAGTTTCGCTTCTCCAACATTGGTGCCCCTCTGGAGCTATTGACTCTCCAAATGCAATGCGCTCCGATGAACTTTCTTTCTTCTTCAAGTTGAAGTAGGTATGCGACACAGTAACGAAGTCAACAGTCTCCAGAGATTGTTTATCCGCTTGTTCGCGAAACACTCTTAGCGTGCGGGAGTCCGTTGGGGCTAGTTGATTAGAAATGATGAAGTCATTGCGTAGAGTTGACAATCTTCAAGAGTCGTTGTTGCTCTTTGCTCTTCAGAAAGTCCCACTAAACCTTCTGTATCCTCATTCACCGAGCGCAAAGTCAAATCGAGGTAGTTGTAAACTCCATGTTCTTCCCAACGGCGCATTCAAGCAAGAGAAAAAGTCCGTCGGCAAACATGCTAAACAGCTCGGAACTTCGTCTATGACGCGCGACTCATGGAGCGCTTAAAGCATTTACCGAGACTCGACTCCGGGGGATTGTCGCGGAGATAAGCGCTCCATTCGATGGCGCGAGACTGGGGCGGTGTCCTATCATCGTTGGCCTCAAGCTACTAAGACTCAACTAAGCTTATTCGGCCGGCACCGACTCGGCGTGGGGGGTTGCTACTGGGTGGGACGGCTTCAGTACCGGGAACTATTCCGATTTCCGGCTCTTTGAGACATGCGCCGGGGCCGTTGGGAGTGTGATTTTGATAGAGGTCGCCTGGCATAGGGCAGAAGGTGTGCGGTGGTCTTGGGGGAGTGGTGGGTGATGTGGTTCTCCGCTCGCACTTTGCAGAAGAGGAAAATTTACAATTTCTTCAAAATTCTTATGAATACAAACTCAAAAGAATGGTTTTGGTGAAAAAAATGAAGGAAAAGAGCAAAAGGCGACATAAAGATGGTAAAAACGCAAAAGAAATAGCACAACCTGGTTTCGATCCAGGGACCTCTGGGTTATGAGCCCAGCGCTCTACCCCTGAGCTATTGTGCTTGCTGATGAAAATTTTCCGAAAGTTTGTTTCCTCTGTAGCTTGGCGCGTATGCCGAGAAAATTCCGGCCCCAGAAGTAGCCCACGCTCGCGTTCATCAAGCCCGTGAATTTAGCAGGTGCATTGAAATGCGGCGATGATTTTCTCCAATAAGTCTTGTAAGTAAATGCAGACTCTCATGTTCAAGCTAGGAGTATTTGCCAGGCATCAGCTTCCACAGCATGAGGACTTGTCGACATAATGTTACTGAGGGTGGCTGTCTATGAAAGCTCTTGCTGTCTAACCCTCAACAATTATGACAAAAAATGCCATGGATAGAAATGTTATTGTGAATCGCCGAAAAGAACAAGTTGGCCGATATGCTCACCGGAATACGAATAGAGACCAAGAGATTGCCAACCGTAAGGTTGTCGAGTTGAGTTGTCTGCCTAGCCGTTGAATGGCATTGCGAATTGTGACATATGTTCGGGGAAGTTTTTGGTGACAAAGAGGCTGTCTTCTTTGACGCAGTCTATTGCGCTACGTTAACTATCTCGGAATCCACGACTCTCCTTGCTTCTTCTCCTACATGCGATGCTGAAGCCTTGGCTAGTCACAGACAACCCTCGCCTTGACTAGCAGGAGATCTGAGTCATAGCCGTCGCCATCAGCAGTGCCAACCTTCACTAGACCCGGCGAGATGTTGCATAGTACCATGTTCCCATCACCGAGCGGCTCCTGCTCCCAGCCCTCGGCTTCCATAGACTTGTCGTCGAAACGGATGCGGCCTCCACCCGTCACCTCCTTGTGGCACCATTTCGGGTAGAAGTAAGCTCTGGAAGCCATGAAGATCCCGCGGAGCTGCAACGCATCGTCGAATATCTTGATGATATGCTTCTGAAGCTTTTCGCGCTTTACTTTGTAGTCAGAACACTCTTTGGGAAAGAAATTGGCGAAGGCCGTGATCTCCATCTGTGTCACCCTCAACAGCTCTGGGTGGTCGACACCAATCATCTGCCCGATCATCTCTCCCATCTCAGCCTTGCAATGTAGAAGCTTCGTTGGGTCCACTTGCCTACGGTCGCATAAAACTATCATTCAAAGGCTTCAGTAACGATGGTCGCAAGATAGGCACTGGGATGGGGAATAATCTCACCTAGTAGCTTCTCGAAGCAGGTAATGAAGCTCTTCCCGATTGTGCCGGCCCAAGTCTTTTCGTAACTTCCGTCTACCCCGAGGTCGAAGAATCGTCCTATGACAGTCTTCCAAATGTAGTGTTCCACGACGAAGGGTCTCATTTCCTCGTCTTGGAGCTGGTCGATGTAATAATTGATGCCATCGGAACCGAGAAAACAAGAGTCGTTGATGCTGCCGTCTTTCAGTTCTCTCTCCGAGGGACAGCCGGTGAGAACGTGGTTCGCAAGGTAGTTGATGTTGTACCGCATCTTCGCCCATATGGCCGTGATCGATTCGTCCGAGACCTTACTGGAGTTTGCAAAAGGCTGGGTCTTTAGTTTCGCGTCCTCATATTCTTCGAGTCGGAACTCAAGGTTCGCCATCCGTTCCAAAACCTTGCAATTGTGCTCCTCAAGGCTGTTCATGGCATTTCGATGATTTGACTCTCGCTGAGCCAGCTCTGCCTCAGCATCAGCGGCCTTCTCAAGCGCATCCGCTAGCTTCTTCTCCGTGTCGGTTGCTTCATCATTTGCCTTGTCCAGAAACTCCTGAAGTTTTTTCTTCTCTTCTTCACATATACCAAGGCGATTTGAAAGCTTCTCGATGCGCTGTGACTGTAGCGCAGCCCTCGTCTTGCCTATGATGACGAAGGTGTGCTTTTGGTGATATGGCACCGAGCCATTGTGGCGCACATTCCTTTTCCTCCAACGTATATCATCGAGGTTCTTGTTGTAAAAGTTTTTGCGAACAATTCGATTGAGTCTCTGGCGAGGAGGGAGGGCTGCTATACGTGCCCCAAAGGAAAGCGGCATCTGCTCGTGAGGGCCGTCGGTGTTCATTGGGTGCGGAGTCTTGCCCTCTCGGGGCGCATCTTCTGGTAAGCTGATGGGAGAGTCTGCCTCAGTATCCTCAATCAGTATGAAGCGTTCCTGTAATCCAGTTAGGATTCGAGGGAAAGATTTTGTGAAGTTAGAGTATCTGGGGAAGTTTACCTGTGCATGCTCAGCCATGGTTCAGCTGAGCAACTTGATTAATCTCTTGCCGATGTGAGGAATTTTCGGGAGTCTTCGCGCAAGCGAGCGTCCTTAAAGGTAATAGGATCGTTGTATGAGAAAGACGCTGAGTCAATGAGAGAAAGTTGTACGAGGTGAGATAGAGGTAAGGTCGGTGCGGGACGAGGGTGATATAAGGGCATTGCCTGCCACCCAAACTTCCTTCCTTTTCTTTTGAAATAGGTACCTTCCTTTCTCTCTTATTTTTGTGTCCTGTGGCCTAAGTGAGGGAAGGCAGGTACAATGCACCCATTCTCCTCGGCTGCACTTTTGAGAGAAACATCTACTTCACCTTCTCAACTCGACACCTCACCACTCTCTCTCACTGCACACTTTTCAAACTTCATCTTTTTTGACTCAGTTTTCTTGCTAAGCTCTCAGGGCTTTTAATACGTTTTCTTCTCCAACTTTCTCTTTACATTACCTGGAAATGTCAGTATTTTCCGTTTCCCATCTTTCTCATATCTCCTTCACACAAGCTCATCACCGCTTTCCCCCAATTTCACCACATTTTTTTCTTTACTGACGAGGCCCACCCAGACCAACATCTACAGAAGCTTTCGGCGGGAAAGTGTAGCCCATCATGGTGAGAACTCGGATTTCTGAAGAAAATGAGAAGGCCATCGTCATTGGCATAGACTTCGGCACGACGTAAGAATATCATACTACTTCCTTTTCTTGCTTAACCTTCATGGGCTATCTTCTGACTACTCGAAAGCTTCTCCGGCGTCAGTTGGGCCTACTCCGGTCAGCCCGACGACATCGAGGTCATCAGCCGCTGGGAGTCCAAGATAAACCTCAACTCCGACAAAGAGAAGGTACCGTCGTCCATTCTTTTCCAAAGAAAAAGCGGGAACTCTTCTTGGGGATATGCCATACCCAGCGATGGAAAGCAGGAGCCGTTGAAGTGGTTCAAGCTCTTGCTTGTTGATGAGCGTGACCTTCCCGAGAACGTCCGAGATTCTACCCAGATTGCTATCGCGAGAAGACTGGCTAAGAGCGCGAATAAAGAGCCGGTCGAGATCATTAGCAGATACCTCCAAAACCTATGGAACCACGCTATAGAGTGCATTGTCAGCACAGTTGGCGACGCAATGGTCAGGATGTGCCAGTTTCACATCGTCATCACTCTTCCGGCAATCTGGCCGGATTACGCCAAGGCAAGAATGCGCAGAGCTGCCGAAGATGCTGGCTTGCTGGATTCACGTCCAGCTGGAGAGACGAGCTTGTCCTTCATCTCGGAGCCCGAAGCGGCGGCTCTTGCTACGATGAAGGACTTGTCAAAGATGCCCACCACCGAGGTATGTGAACTGTTTCGGTTTTGAGTGGCGTGGCACTGACTAGTTACTTCATAGGTTGGAGATCACATCGTTGTGTGTGATGCTGGTGGCGGAACCGTCGACCTCATCACCTACGAGATCCTGAGCTTGGATCCCTTCATCGTCCGAGAGGCGGTCCAGGGTGACGGCGACCTCTGTGGCGGCGTCTTCCTTGATGAGGCATTTGTCAACATGCTTCAGGAGAAGGTCACTCCTCAAGCTTGGAACAATATCCCCAAAGAAGACGCCAGGAAGTTATTGAATGACGAATGGGAGCATTGCATCAAGCCTTCTTTCAAGAACCAGGACGATGACTGGCAAATCAACCTTCCATCCGAGTGTCGTGTTCCTGGATCTCAGCAGCGGGGCATGAAGCGCAAACGAAACCTCAGCCTTGATCAAGAGGACCTGCTCAAAGTCTTCGACCCCGTCGTCAACCAGACAATCTCACTGGTAGAAAAGCAGATCGAGGCTGTCTTGATGAAGACGGAGTCGAAGCCCAAGGTAAGAGTCACTCTCCTTGTTGGATGATGAACAACTAACATTGGGTGCGAAAGCAAATCATTCTTGTTGGGGGGTTTGGCAGGTGCCCGTATCTACGGAGCCGCCTTAAGGAAGAAGTCGGTAACAACATTGAGATTCTTCAGGGCCATGGAGCCAAGCCGTAAGTCTCCTTCTTATACCTTCTAAGCCAATGCTAACACGGAACAGGTGGACTGCGATCTGTCGGGGTGCAACTATTCATGGACTGACGCGTCGCAACCTCGCTCCCGGTCTTGCAGTCGAGATCAAGTCTAGGGTCTCTCGTATGAGCTACGGCACCTGCTGCTCGATGGACTACGACCCCGAGGAGCACGAGAAGAAAGACAGATACTGGTGTGAAGATGAACTCTCATGGAAGGTTGATACTTGCATGGACTGGTTTCTTCAGCGAGTATGTTAAGAATAGGAAATTCTCCAGGGGTAACTAAAAGCTGACACCTATGCTAGGGAACCGATGTCTCTTCTGTGGATCCGGTTACCAAGTCGTACTACCGCCTTTGGGAGTCAGTTCCTAGTCAGGTCGAGGGAACAATCTACTCCAGTGAGGCGTGGCCCCCTCCGGAGAGACTGGACCACCGCGTCAACGAGTTATGCACCATTACTTGGAAGAAGAAGATCAACTTCGCATCCCTTCCTCGCTTCACTAATCCCATGGGCAAGGTCTTTGCAAAGATCACTTACGAAGTCGAGATGACATGCTCCGGAAAGAGCGTGGACTTCACTGTCATTCATGATGGCAAGCAGGTGGCAGCCAAGAATGTCGAGGTGGTCTTCAATTCGGACGACGAGTAAGCGAATGGCTTGCAAACTTTGGTGATTGAATCGTGGAAATTGGCATCGTGAAGTGGTTTGTGAAGGGAATGATTGGCTTTTCTTGCACAGGAGGGAAGGAATGGCAAATAGCACACAGGCTGTAAGCTTTCTGAACCGCTGGGATAAGCCATGGACATTCCTTAAAGGGCATTAGGAAGGCAACATTGAGAATAGAGCTTCATCTACAACATGTCTTTCCATGTCCCGAATTACTCAACAACACGTTTCTCGTGAACTGGCCGCTGACAAGCTTATCTCAGCCTCATCGAGTTGACGAGTTTCATTGGACCACGACATCGAATCGTCTTGAATAGGAGAAAGCGTGTCTACCGGTATGGTCTACAAGTCAAAAAGCCTGTGTCTGATATGCCAGACCGTGCTCAGTATCTTTGAAATCTACAACTATGGCGTTTCTGACCTGCAACCCGTCAGCTTGAGCTCCCGGAAGCTTATCAATATCATCACATGCTAGACCCGTTATCGTGTCACGTCAGCAGAAGGCCAATGAGACCGCGGTGCGAGGGCCGTTAGTGAGATTTGGATTTTCCAGAAACCCGGGACGTTGGACCACCCTCATGCATGGCCCGTATGATGAGCTTTGTATGCATGCTTCGTCAATGCTCAAGGGTTGGTGAGGTTGCGGTAAGCGTCGGCCGCGGTTCAAAGAGGTTGTTCAACGGACCGACTATCCGCGCGCCTCTGTATAACCTGAGATGTCTTCTCAGTAGCATTGACCGGAACCTCAAAGGCGTGCATAGCAGGCATCAGCCGGACTGTTTGCGCCTGGGCTGTCTTTGCTGCAGCCTGCGATTCAACGCCAAACTCGGGGTCTTGGCGGGTTGGCTGGTAAGCTCGCTCACTGCAAGAGCTGGCTTTGATATGCTGCAGCTGTATGCAGAGCTTACACGCTGACTCTGCTTTGAGATTTACGAGATTGCGGAAGCCATTGGTCCAGATGGCTCGAGTTCAGCTTACGGCTTGGTGGCGTACGAGCCTGAGATAACGACGGCCTAGAGAGGAGAGAGTCGGAAGAGTATTTTAACGTTCGCGGATCCGGGCAACAATACGGAAGGCCGCAGGATCTCACACTCGACGGCTTCACACTCGTATCTTTCAGGTGCGAACCCTCGACAAAATAATAGCCAAGACTGAAGCCCAGCCCCAGACCGGAGGGCCGCTAGAGAAGGCAGAGCAACCCGACTCTTCTTCCACCAAAGGCCCCCCCTCAGGAGACAACACCGACACAGAGCGAGGCAAAGATGCTGTCGCCATCGAGCCTGTCCGTACCGTCACCGGAGTCAAGTGGTGCCTCATCGTTTTCGCCATCCTCTCATCGACCTTCCTCTTCGCCCTGGACAACACCGTCGTCGCTGACGTGCAGCCGCAGATCGTGCTGCAGTTCGACTCCCTCAAAGATATCGCGTGGCTCGCTGTAGCTTTCATCATGGCAGCCACGGCTGTCAACCTCTTTTATGGCCAGCTGTATTCGCATCTAAAGCCCAAGTGGCTCTACATCGCCAGTGTCGCTATCTTCGAAGCGGGTAGTGCTCTCTGCGGTGCGGCGCCGAATATGAACAGCCTCATCGTCGGGCGGGCGTTGTGCGGTCTCGGCGGTATTGGTATGTATCTCGGGGTGATGGTCCTCATCGCCGCGACCACGACGATCCAGGAGCGGCCTGCGTATCTCGCTAGTATTGGAATTACGTGGGGGCTAGGAACCCTGCTTGGGCCTGTTGTAGGAGGTGCCTTTGCTGACTCGGATGCGACGTGGCGGTAAGTCATCTCGACCATGGTCGATGCCCTCCTCAATCACTGACTCCCAACGGCTGGGCTTTCTACATCAACCTCCCCATCGGTGGCCTGGCCGCGCCGGTGTATCTCTTCATGCTGCCGTCTCCCGACCCTCAGCCTGGCGCGACCATCCTGCAGCGACTCGCCGAAATCGACTGGATCGGTGCCCCGCTGATGCTGGGTGCCATCGTCTGCTTCACCATGGGCATCTCCTTCGGCGGCGTCCTGTACGAGTGGAACTCTGGCTCCGAGATAGCACTCTTTGTTGTCGCAGGCGTCTTGTTCATCGTCTTTGGTATCCAGCAGGCGTACTGCATCGGCACGACCAAGGAGCGCCGCATCTTCCCAGTCGAGCTCATCACTTCCCGCAAGTACTATCGAACCATCATCCTCATGTTCTGCGTCACGGCCGCCGGAGGTTGCGCCATCTTCGTGCCGGTGTACTTTGTTCCCATCTTCTTCCAATTCACGAGGGGCGACAGCGCTATCGATGCGGCTGTCCGCCTGCTACCGTTCATCCTAGTCATGGTCACCGTGACCCTGATTCAAGGCGGCATGCTGTCGCACCCATCCGGAAAATTCGGGCTGTATATGCCGTGGTTCACCGTCGGCGGCATCATTAGTGTCGTTGCTTCCACGTTGATGTACGTCGTCGAGACCGACACCAGCACGGCTTGGATATATGGGGCCTCGGCCATGCTTGGTGCCGGCGTGGGGACTTTCACACAAGCGGGCTTCTCGATTGCCCAAGCCAGCGTGACGGCGCCCAAGGCTGCTGTTGCGTCCTCTCTGATTGCCTTGGCGCAGACGAGCGGTATTAATATCGCGCTGGCGGTCAGTAATGCGGTGTTTCTGAACAGGGCTGAGAAGCGGCTGACTGCAATTCTTCCGGATACTGTCACGGAGGACCAGATTCAGGCTGCGATTGCTGGTGTCGGGACGGACTTTGTCACGACGCTGCCGCCGCGGATGCAGCAGGAGGTTCTCGAGGTTATCGTCGAAGCTCTGAATTTGCCTTACATCTTGGTCATCACAGCTGGGGCGCTTGTCTTGGTCTGCAGTGTGCTGATGAAGAGGGAACGCTTGTTTATGACAGCTGCTGTTGGGGTTTGAGGGTCGTTGGCACTTTGAGCACCGACTGAGATGACGGGGGAGGAATGAGAGTAATGAATCTGTACGGAGACATCTAATCTTGGTGAAGAGGTCATAGATGGGGATGTCACAATGCTAGGGTTGTCCGTGTGGGTATAAAATATAGATCAGAGGAGAGCATTGTAAATGAAAAGTAGATGTTGAATGCAGGACTGCCAGTGCTACTCTTCGTCCCCTCAGAAGCGATCTGATTCCCACTTGAAGTGTTCGAACTCTCATCGTCACTGAAGGCATGGCTAGGCCGAGTGAAGGTAGCAGTGCTCAGTGATAAGTAAGATGCACGTTAAGTCGGAGGAATGCCATATCAGGTACTTCAGGTTCGCCTGGAGCGACGAGTATGATCTTAAGTCCTGTCTCCCAAGGCTTGATGCGCGTCTTGGTGCAAGGCGCCTTGACAGTGCTCAGTGATGAATGAGATGCACGATATGTGTGAGGCAAGGGATGAGTGAAAGGGATGAGTGAGATGGAGTGAGATGAAGAGCGAGGTGAGGTCGTCGCGGTGGAGCGTGCACCCCACGGGCCGTGCGGAGAAACGGGTCCCAGCGCGTCTTACCTAATGCGCTCAGTGACCCGCTATTTTAAAACAGAGCCACAGGGGGACTGCAGCTCCATGTTGCAGGACAGTTTCGCTCTAACCCGTTGCGGCCGGTCCATCCCTCGGTCGGAGGACGTCCAAAAGTTGACACCTCTTCGGAAACTCAACCACAGCTCTGAACCTCTCATCAAATCCCGGAGCTCCGTCGCGAACTCATCCAAACTCGCCATCTCCCCCTCTTACCAGCGACGACGACGACGACGACGACAAAGAGACGCGCCGCCATCGATCTCGGCCCGCAAACACAGCATGAGTTCATGAGAATAGGGTCCTATCGTGCCCTTGCTGCTGTCATTCGTCACAGCTCGCCATGGCTCTCCCTCTCGTGAGAGACCATTCCGTCCGCGGACTCTGGATCACGTTCCTTCATCTCCTTTTCGCAACCTCGGTATGCGCCTACACACCGCTCTCGGCAGCCGTGCTCAAGAACGTCACGGTATCCGAAGCCGACTTTGACATTCACAACGGCCCATTGCTGGCCCCCATTCTCATCCCCCGAGTGCCCGGCACGGATGGGCAGCTCAAGACGCAACAGCATTTCGTCGATTTCTTCACCAAGAATTTACCGAAATGGAACATCCAATGGCAAAATTCAACGGATAAGACACCCGCCACGGGAAACACCGATATTCCGTTTCAGAATCTAATCATCAGGCGCGAACCACCATGGACGAAGCCTGGCCAGGCCAACTATCTCACCCTGGTGGCGCATTACGACAGCAAGATTGAACCCAAGGGCTTCATCGGCGCAACGGATAGCGCTGCGCCGTGCGCTATGCTGCTGCACGTTGCAAGGGCGCTGGACCCGATGATGACCCAGATGTACGATGAGATGGTGGCCCTTGGGGAGAACGGTGGTACGGTTCCCCAGGATATGGGTCTGCAGATCCTGCTTCTCGATGGAGAGGAAGCTTTCAAGTCATGGACGGATACCGACTCACTATATGGCGCAAGGTCAGTGAAGTATGAAACAGCATGAGGCTCATCACACTAACATCTTGCTCTAGGTCCCTGGCTCTCGAGTGGGAGAACACATTTAACCCAGCCATGTCTCATTACAAGAACCCCCTAGAGCAGATCAGCATGTTCGTGCTGCTCGATCTTCTTGGCTCAGCAGAGCCCAAGGTCCCTTCCTACTTTCAGTCAACTCACTGGGCCTACAAAGCCATGGCCGACATTGAGAAGCGCATGCGTGATCTCAACTTACTTGAGAGCAAGCCCAAGATGCCGTTCCTCTACGATATCAACAAGGTTAACCAGATGTTCGGGCGTAGCGGCATTGGTGACGACCACGTCCCCTTCATGATGAAGGGCGTCAACATTCTGCATATGATTCCCTCGCCTTTCCCCGACGTATGGCACACGACGCAGGATGATGGGGAGCACCTCGATATGCCGACGGTGAGGGACTGGACGAAGATTGTGACGGCGTTTACGATGGAGTGGCTTGATGCAATGGAAATAATGCCCGAAGAGGCCCAGAGGTAGCATACCTAGAAGTTGAACTGTGGAAGCTGAACTCCGTCTTTGTTGTTCCTGATCATGTCTGTTCATTGCTGGTGTTTGTGTAATCAGGTGTCACATGCTCAAATGATTTTGTTTGGGGTGGGTTTCTGTCCCGGTACAACTTCCCTGCCGCTGCTGTGGTAAACGAAGCGAATGTTGAATCTCTATACGACCAGGAGTTCAGCCACTAAAATTCAAAGGAGAGAAATTAGCATTGATCTCTGTTCAGTAGACTAAAAGCTGCCGGATTCATGCGTAAATGGCTGCAGGATTCTCCATCTTTCTGTCTCTCTTTGCACGCAGCACAAGACGGATATAAGATAGCCTCGTTTCCTCCAACGTCGGCTGGACCAATGCTGCTAGTTCTTCCTCAAGCACCGACTTTCCTCAATTTTATTCAGCACTTCACTGCAACACATTTGTAAGTTCAATAATTAAAGTAGGGACAGAAGTGGTAAATCTCCTTTTCTTCCAGGTCCGAGGCTCACGAATAAAAAGGTATTACACTCTCGCCACAGCCACATCACACACGAGACCGATCCGCATCTCTCCAGCAGACTGTCAAAATGTGGGACTCATTTGAGGACGAGTTGACAGAAGGCAACACTATCAAATTGGGAGATGAAAGTCGCGATCTTCGTTTGATCATGGCAAAAAGGCCTCTTGCTCCTCGCCATTTGCCATGTGAACTGGAGGCAACTCGGAGGTCGCAGTTGGAAATCATTGTTCAGTCTGACATCTTTACGAGAGCCTCCCAAATGTTCCAAGACAAGGACAAGAGATTAATTGACGGATATACTAACAAAGGAACCATGTGGCTAGGCGACGATGACGATGTCGTCGGTTCAATGGTCGTTCTCCTTGCAATCGTCCACGGACGCCCTCCACATCTCGTTCCACCCACGGTCTCCACTGAGGAGTTCAGGAGTCTGCTGGAACACGCAGAATAGTATGGCCTCTTACAACATCTGGTACCGCATCTTAAGCGATGGATGCCCGATGAGTCTGGAAGAAAACTCCTTATATCTGGCGGCGATATTGTTAAGACCGCGTGGGCTGCTCGAGAAATCGGCTCGGTAGAATCTACCGCGAGAAGGTCATCGAGCTCGCCATCAGGATTCCATTGACGGGCCGCCTCCCGCCGAATGTTGAAGAACCTGAGTGGAACAAATTATATGGAAAAATCTTCGGTGAGCAGCGCGCGTGTTTCAAAATTGGGGAGTCGGAAGAAGCGGCATTTCCTAACAAAAACAGGCGATGCAAAGAAGTTTTACGATTATGCCCTGTTGGCCATAAGAAAGCGGCTCCCTAAGTATGAATACGACGCTTCCAAGGACCGAGGCTGTGTAATCACCCACGCAACCAAAGAGGATAGCCAGAAATGCAACTCCAAGATCAAGGAATCCTTGAAGGAGACTGTCGAATCGGTTGGATGGGGATTCGATAGCTTCATCAAGGATGAGCCGGTCGAGTGTTCAAAATATCATGGCCGCATTCTCCCGGTTCTGGAAACATGTTGCACTACTCTTCGGGGCCACGAGATTTGCGATCCTTTCAGAAAGATGCAGGACATTTCAAGAGGCGACTTATGGCCACAGCTTGACGGTTCGCAAGTTTAGACTTCTTGCAGCGAGCTGACATCACGGAATGGGGAATTCGAAACAGAGGCTAGACTGATGGAGAAAAACGAGGAATCACTTCTTTTTCAAAACTCAAAAGGTATTCATCCAGACTTCAGCATCGTATGGTCCATTGGAACTCACAGGCTGTGTCCATTGGGAAATATGGGGAACTAGCTAATGAAGGATTTTGCAAGAATACGAGCGGTTCATTCTCTTTGCTTTCTTTCTAGCTGGTTTCGAGTGTGAGGAGGACTTGTTGATACTGATAATGAGGTCCGCTGCTCTCAACTCCCCAAGTGTAATTATCTATGTTAGGGAAACGACTTAGTACTATAATTCCTACCTTTTGGGAAAGTTAAATCCAAACAAAAAGTGAAACATACCGCTCCAGTCTCGATTTCCACTTGCTACGGCAATAATGGCGCGAGGCTCGATCGGACCTTCAGTGGGCAGGCAGTGCCACTCGTAGATGTCCTACCGTTGTAGCTGTGAGCAAAGGCCAAAACACTTTATCAAATGTTGTGGGATATGACACTATACTTACATATTCAAGAGACGAACTCTTACAAAACAACGCCAACATCAAATGAAAAAAGAAAGAACCGAGTTGACCTCAGTAACTCGTCAATTGAGTAGGCCAGATGGTGTCCTAAGCTCCCGTAAAGTGACCCAAAAGATCGACCAAGCTCAACATCTTACTGGCGCTATGAGGCGTGCCTGGCCTGACCTGGGGCCGGGCAAACGCTGTTGGCCGCTGATCTCATCCTCACAAACCCGTCTGTTGCCTCTGTGTTACTGGGAGCCAAAAACTTGGATTAGTTCCTTTGTGGCGGGTTCCAAATTGCTGTCTTGACACAGTGCCTTTGTCACGAGTACGGTAAAACGTACGATGTTTACCCCCGTCACCTCCACGAGGGGCAATGAGCCGAAGGTCAAAGGAATACATACCCCCTGAGTCCCTTACACTACGGACAGCCAACCAAAAGTTCCTTGCCGATGATGTCGATTCTGGTCGCGCTCCGCATCCTCATGCACAGAAAAATATGTATAAAAGTCCGCCTTTTTTCTTTAGATGGAACGGGACAAACGCCACGAGCCCTCCTGAATCGCACCACCAACAGCTGCACAATACGTAAAACACTACACCACAGAGAATTCGTAAGTCCTATACCAGATTAGATGGAGAAATGCGCGAATCCTAAAGCTTACAATCGGGCAGAAGCTTCCTAGCATCATCAAGACAAGCCTTCGCCTTGCAGATATGACGTCTTCTTATATTAGCAACTTGTTGAATTCCGTCATTGTAGAGCTGCGGGTTGACCAACCTATCAACTTTTGCAACGATGATTCCACGCCTTCCCACTCCTTTAATGTTGGTGGTAACCTTTTTCAAAACCCTGATATGGGGGTCACGGCCACGGTCTCCCTGGAGATCCTGGCGGAAGCTTCAGAGGGGTTTGGGAAGCACCACAGATTATTCTCGGAATATACGGAGCGCTTAGCAAACTATGCTGCCGATTTGGTACTGATCCTCTTCGACATCGCCCACGGTACCGAATTATACGTTCCGAACAAGGCCTCAATTCTGATCAAAGTCCCCGAAGTGAAGAAAGACTCCGTGGCGGACCTCTGCGACCTAATTGGCATAGCTGAAAATCTCGGTCTGGGGCATCTCTTGGGCCCGTACCTGGAGCATTTGATTCCCGCACAGTACGATAAAAGTAACATTAAAGCATCACTGGTTGACGTCGCTGCCTGGCTCGCTTGGAAGATTGGCGCGGAACATTTGTATGGCGATATGATCGACCACCTGGCATTTATATGCAAACTTGACTAACTATGCAATGTCATAAGACCGGAATCCCGCGGGGAGCCGATCATTCAACAAGCCCTCCATCGCAGTGATAAAGATAACGCCGAAGTTCCTGGTGAGCCTTTCACATCTTGATCATTAAATAGGCGAAGAATTTGATGGCCTAACATAAAGCAGCCAATGTGGCTTCTGTCCGTAAAGAAAGGCTGGAAGAAGTGATCAGAGAGCTGAGAGACGCTATATCGCTCGGCAATAGTGGCAAAGGCTGCATTGCCAACAACGTACTAGAAGATGAACGAGATAAGTGCACTAGCGCCATTCACGACTACATGACTGAAGAGTCCAAATGCAGAATCAGTGAGAAGCTCGATGTCGATGGCCTGGGCCAGGTCTTCCTAGGTGAAAGTATTTCAACTTATAGAGGCAGCATCAAGGGATTGCGACAGAGGCTGTTGGCGGTGAAATGCGAAGCCGCTCACGACACATGCGATCCTTTTAGGGAGATGAGAGACAAGTTCGAAAGGGAACCCAGCTGGCCTCCTTTCAAATTGGACTCGAAACGCCAGGAAAAATTGACGGAGAAAGCTAAGGCGTTCAAGTGGACGCTGGGATAGCGCGTTCATATTCGATTTAGAAATCTGAAAAGTGCTCGGTCACCTCTAATGGATACAGGTCCCACAAAAGTGGATGATTCATAGAGCACCCAGCCGCATTCAGCATGTATTGAAGCTTCAAGTATGAGCGGGGAGTATACGTGGCTCACTCAGACGAAGTATGTGCCAAACGTCATCCATAAGTTTGTTGAACGATGTACATGAGCCCCTAGAAATAAAAGTTTATCTTCGTTTCAGTTTAGTATCTGAGGTTTTTCGATTTTGAAGCTTGGTTGAACAGCTGCACTGGCCATGGAGAGAGCTTAACTCTGATGGCCCTGAGATGTCGCACTGGAAGAAAAGAGACCTAGTGACATCGTTTCAATGCTTCAAGGAAGACTTTTCAAATCCCCTCAAGCGAACCGAAGGATGGCGGTGCCCCTTATGTTATGGCCTAACGTTACCGGAAACGAAGCACAGAATTATGCTGATAACGCAACAGCCGAACATCAGTGTTGTGGTTTAATAAACGCCCTGTCTGACTCGCATCCACAGTTATGCCATCAAATATGAGCGAGCCGGAGCCAAAGTGCGTATCTCAGAAGCTTTTGCCTCCGAAAAGTACCGGATACGCTGTGATATTATACGTAGGATAGAGTCTGGTCAACGCCCAGCGCCTTAGCACATCCACATTCAGAGAGCTTAGGGCCCAAGGCTTGGAAGGCACTATCGAAGTAATAAATCTTCACCTAAGAGGGCGTCTGTGCTGGATGAATAGATGGGGAGACGGAGGTAAGTTGTGTGCCACCGGCCTGCTCATTGCCCCAAAAGATCGACGAAGTCGCCCGCTTGTCAGGCATGCCAAATCCGGCCGGGCAGCCGCATCTAAGCAGTGCTCTCACTCTTCAAAACTGACTTCTCGCTTGGCCTTGTGTAACTACCTAGAGACCGCAGACTCCGATTGTTTCTTTGATGATGGAGGTTTTCGAATCCCTGTTTCCACACAGCGCCTTTGTCACTGGTGCAGGAAACCAAAGAACCTTCACCCTTACTACCGCCACCAGGAGCATTCGACCGAGGTCAAAAGGAATGAATGTAGCCTTGGTCACCTTTCCGTTGAGCCCGATTCACGAGGCGCTCCGCATTTCCTTGTATGAGGTGGCATATAAGTGAGTCATCTGCTTCCTCAAGGAGGAACAGAACAGACGACAAAAGTTTCTTCTTCAACGCTCCGTCATTCGCAATAGATCTTGAACAACACTACCCTTAGAATTGCGCAAGTTTCATATTGAAGGTAAGGTGTTACTCCCAAAGTTTTTAACCAAATAGCAGCTCGACTATTCCCACGGTCATTGACAGCAACTGTTAGTTTACAGACATGACGTCTACGGAGACAACGTGGGATTCGGTCGTCGCAAAAATACCGGACGACCGGGTTATTACTTTTTGCAAGGAAAATCCCATTTGCCTCGAGATTGGCAAGGACACCAAATCGCTACCCACGATCTTCGTTTCCCCTGAGAAAATGACGAAAGCTTCTCCTGGTGTCTTCATGTTTGAGCCAAATTGGCAAAATAAGGAACAACGCGTGGAGAAAATGCCATTCGACAATCCCCAGGTGATGCTGATCCTCCTTGCGATCATCCACGATGAGAAGCGCTTTATCCCGGATAAGGTCCGTCTTATTCAGCTCTATGGTCTCTTGGCACATGCTCAACTATATGGTGCTACATGGAGTTTGGGCCCGCACCTCAAAAATTGGATGCCCACAGAGAAAGAAAGGGCCGACTCGTCTTACAAGGGACACATTGCCTGGATCGCTTGGGAGATTGGCGCAAGGGAAATATACAACGAAATGGTCAACCACTTAGGCTTCATATGCTCCGGTGATGGGAAAGGTAGCATCAAGTGGCCAGAGACACCCGACCCTATAGAGAAATATCTTGCTGAAGCGAGAATCACTGGTGAGTCTTTCACACTCTGGTCATCAGGCATTCAAGTAACCATGCATCCTGCACCAAAGTACTGTATCTAACGGGAAACAGATGACATAGTAAAAGTCCGAAATCGACTCCTAGACTTCATGTTCACAGAGCTCAGGGATGCTATGAACCTCGAGAGTGCTAGCAAACACTGCGGCAAGGACAATAATCCAGATTACGATGAATGCACTTCCATGATTCAAGACATTATGAGTGAAGAGTCCTTGACCACCATTTGGAAAGAGAAAGGTTTCGATATTGCGCTTCTGCTCGATCGAAAAGCACTGAGCCATCCGGATTATTCAGGCAGTGCCATAGAATTGCGCAACACACTTAAGAGTGTGAAAGCCTATACTTTTGAAGAACATGACCTTTGCGATCCTTTTGAAGAAATGAAGAGAAAGCTGGAAAATCAATTTTACTTGCATCTGGACCTGGTCTCAACGCAAGAGAAATTGGGCCAAATTCAGGCGCGAGTTCAGATATCGGGATGGAAGTCACAGTAGCAATTTCGGCCTCGACGCAGAAACATGAGAAACCATTGATTCTTCAAGGCTTTACTTAGACTCCCAGAAGCTTCCATCAGAGCAGTCTTTGGCTCGTTGGTTTCCGAGAAGTGAACAATGATTGAGGCTTAGATACCTGGATCTTCGGTGTTGCAACAGCTGTGCATTCGTTCTCAGTAGAGTCTTTCTTTCTCAGTGAGGGTGAATTCCGCAATTTATGAAGTCGGACTAAAAGTACATTCCACGATGTTTTAAGTATTGACTCATGGCTTTCCGGGAACTTGAATGATTGGCTGAATTTATGAAATTCAAGGAGAGGAAACTGTCGAAAGAAGGGGGCTGCGGTTGAAGTTTAAGAGCGGTGTCCACAGGTGATTTATACAGCTTCCTCCATCAAGATTCACTCTCAACTTACACTGATCTTGTACTTGCGTGCCAGTAGAACTATTTCCTTCTCAATCGTCCGTTGCATCTACAACTCTCATGGGGAGCTTGCTCAGTTTCTTCTCGCGTGCACGTAAAAGCACGCAGCACGCCTCTGTAGACTCTGAAACAGGTATCAATGACGTATTGGCCACTAGCTTTCTTTCCTCCCGCCCAAGATACTAAGAGCCTACCTACGTCTACCTTAGCACCTAGATGAGTAGTGGCGGCGAGCTCGGTGCTCAGTGACCCAGGGTATACAGCGAACCCCCCACTCATAGATTTACCATATGCATATATACCATATCTAGATGCAAGCTGCTTAGTCGCATGCACCCGATTGAGGCTCTGTCGCCAGAACTCAGAACGACCAAATGCAAGCACCCACCATGGCGTCAGCCACAGAGAACTCGTCTGACGTCCTGGAGAATTCTGACGAACCCAAAACCAATGGTCCCGAGCGAGCGGAATCTCCCAGCGTGACGGAAAAGATCTCCTTCGACGATCGAGGCGACCTCACTCTCAGAGTCGGCAGTCTAGAGGATGGCTTCGGGGACGTGTTCGAATTCGTCGTCTGCTCTAGGGCACTAGCGCGCGCGTCTCCCGTGCTTCGAGCAATGCTCTTTGGTGGATTTTCGGAGTCCAAGCCCGACGGAGACATCTGGATCGTGAAGCTCCCCGAAGACCGCACTGCGCCCTTCTTCATTCTCCTCAACATCATCCATGGCCGCTTCAGGGCGGTCCCGCAGAAGCTGAAGCTGGACGAGCTCTATCAGTTGCTTGTTGTCACGAACAAGTCTGAAATGCTGTCGGTCATATTCCAGTGGGCGCCAATCTGGTTCGAACCTCACAAGAACCTCGATGAGGTCTTGGAAGGGAACGAAAGACTATTGTGGATTGCCTGGGAGCTCGGGGAGGAAAGGACCTTTGAATTGAAATGTCGAGATTTCGTCCTTAGGTCCAACGTCAACACCGAAGGGCAGATTGTTGATAAAAGAGGGGCCCCTCTCAACACTTACGACTGTTATGAAGCCAATAGCATAATAGGTGGATTCCTAAATATAACATTATGGAATATGCTTAACAAGCGGTAATCAGATGACATCACGAAGGCTCGACAGGATATTTTGGATGAATTGAGTTCACTCTTTCACGCCGCCATTCGGGAAGGATTAGAAGGCCGAGGATGCAAAAAAGAACGACCCAAAGAGCAGCCTGAATCGCATTATGCTGACTATTATGGATATGGGCATCCTCCTTCCAAGACTCCTGCCCTGTCTGCGACTGATTGGAAAGCAATCAAGGACCGGTGCAACGACGCTGCCCTGGTTGAAGTAATGAAAGCTGTTGAACAACTTCGTCTAGGGAGATTCGGGGTCCCGCAGGAAACTAGAACATGCTTTCTCGGATACGTCAACGACCTTTGGCATTGGCTTCCGGCCTCCGATCTAAAACTCAAGCGGTCCACAAGAGATGCTCTCCTTTAGATAAAATCATGGATCGATTCGAAGTTTCGAGGAGGGACTTCAAGTCACCAATCTCGGACAATAATCTCAACTACATGAGGAACCAGGCCAAGAAGACTGCCATTGGCGGGGATAGATCAGCAGAGGCGGAGGAGCCACAAAAGAAGAAACCCAGATTCTGAAGCACGTGAAGGGAACTGGAGCCGAGAATTCTGACGCGGGAACGAAGTTCGCACACATGCCGTGGCTTTGACCGAGAAACTGACGAGATGAGGGCCGACTAGTCGAATAATGGCACTGCTGCTTGTTTATCAGGATATAATCTTTCATCAATACTTCTGCAACATTGAGCTACCCTAACAGGACGTAACCAATCAATTCTCCTTCCATTTGATGAAACAGAAAACGCTACCCCGAAGCATACAATCGGCCGTATATCATCGGCGCAACTTCAGATACGAGCTCTCCGCCCGAGCCCTCTTCTCACGCAAGATCTTCCTCTCCTCGGCCGAGTATAGCCCATCCCCCGTCTTCTCCCCCAGCCTCCCTCTAGAAACGTAATTCTCCTCCAGCCAGTCCGTGTACCCGGCCTTCTTCGCATCCACTACCCCCATGTTCACCCTGTTCCTTTCAACCTGCCATACAGTGTCCAGCCCAACCTCGTCCATCTTCTCACAGGGTCCTTTCTCAGCGTGGAAGAAGTCTCTGAAGAGAGCGTCAATGTCCCGGGGCGAAGCGAGTTCCGCCTGTAGTATGCGTAGCGTGTCTGACTTGACGGCGGACCATATCCGGTTGAAGACGAAACCGACAGACTCGTGCGGGAGTGCCAGGGGGTTGAACCCCACGCTCTTCATCTGCTTCTTCAGGAAGGGCATGAGGTCTTGGTCCGTGACGCCGCAAGTCATTAGCTCGACGTATGTATTCCGCGGTGGGAGGTGATAGTGCGTGTTCAGCAGGCGCTCTGGCCGGGTAATCAGATGTCTTAAAGCTGACGTTGGCCACGTTGAGCTGTTGGAAGCCAGGATACAGTCCTCGGGAACGAGGGCGTCGACTTTACCCAGCATCTCACGCTTAATCTCTGGATCCTCGGGAAGAGCTTCGATCACCATCCAGGGATTGCCGCTGCACGATTCCTCCAAAACAGTGCTTGTCGTCACCCTGCCCGGGTGCGTCTCACGGACAGCGCAAACTGTGGTAAGCGCGTCGCCGACGTAAGGCATCGCAGACGAAAGCACGCTCGAGTCGACGTCGTGGAGAACGACGGGCCGGCCCGTAGAGGCCCACATAACGGCTAATCGCCGGCCAAGGACCCCCGCGCCCAGGATGACGACGGGCCGGGAAGTGGGGTCGCTAGGCGGCATCCATTTCGGGGTGACGGGCGCCGCCGCTGCTGCTTCTGTCTTAGGAGAATGGCTTGAGAATGGGCGAGTTTGATGTTGAGATGAGAAGGAATTTGATTGCCGGCATCGAGTTATAAGTCGGGCTTTGGGTAGGAGTATTGCTGTCGTCGTTGTGGGCAGGGTTCTGGCGATTGTTGCCGGTTTTGTGATGCTTTGGCTTATGATGCCGCTTGTTAGGGTGGGTTGAGTGCGCCATAGTTGTTGACAAGTTCTTCTTGATGCCATTGTGATGCTTAGCCTGTCTATCGTCTCTGCTAAGTATGGAGGGATCTGTGGTCCATTTTATGTTGTTCGTCTATCACTTCTCGCTGAGCCGATGATGATGGCACTGTCGCATGATGGGCGTGTATGGGAGAGTGGCGTGATGTTGTCGACTAACACTGGGCTGACCTCAACTGCCAAGTTCGGGTCTTCGCGGCTGGGGTTCCAATTGCATCACGCAACTGGGGAAACTCCCCAGATCTCCCCGGAAAAGCAAGGTCACTTGCTCGGGCAGTCTATGCCGCCCTACAGCTAGCCTTCGCTCATTCCTTGTCCTCCTTGGGGGAGGAGAAGTTCATGATCCATCTCGGGGGTTTTGCATGACTATGCGTCGTGGCATCACTCGGTAAAGTCTCCTCAAAGCATGCTAGACGTGGCCCTCTCCACGAAAGAAATATAGATAAAATAAACCCGAATCATTAGTTCGACCAATTGGCAGTTGAGAAGAAGCAATTGAAGGTTCTCTGACTTCAATGATGTTCTTCTTTGGAGCAAACCAATCCGACCATCTCCAGAGCGCGGGGAGGTACAAAAGTACGTACCGGTCACGATAGTGGGGTAGACGGGGCTCCATTGGCCCACTGCCCAGGTACCCAATCTTTTGTTCCCGAACAAATTGCGTTGGCCGATTCTTGTGCGGACAGCAACTTCATGACCAACATCCAACGCGGTCGCAAGACTCTATCTCGTGCACTGCGAACTACGGCAGTACACAAACAGACGTCCTCATAACAGACTCTCATCTGTAGTCACAGGAGAATTGCTTTTGTTGCCGCGCACGCCTCATGTGCGGTATCCACGCTGTCGTTTCTCGCGACGGCTTCCAGTCGCTGCCCCAAGACGTCAAGACATGCCTCTGCAACCGCGGTCCGGATCATCTAGGCGAAGTTCGCTGTCAAACCCCGGAAGATAGCTCTGTTTTTCTGACTCTCACCTCGACGGTTCTGGCTCTGCGCGGTGACCACGTCACCCAGCAGCCCTTTCGCGACGCGTCTTCCGGCTCCGCCCTATGTTGGAATGGCGAAGCCTGGAAGATTGCTGGGGAACCCGTTCAAGGGAACGACGGAGAGGCGATCTTTTCTTTACTCACCGCGGCCAGTAACCGCAGCGCTAAGGAAGATGCGGTCTTGGATGTACTGCGCAGCATCGAGGGCCCTTTCGCGTTTGTCTACTTCGACGCGACTTCGTCCCGTCTATTCTATGGTCGTGATCGGCTTGGTCGACGCTCTTTGCTACTGAATGGGGAGGGAGGCATCAGGATATCCAGCACTGCTGAGAGCACCTCACCGGCGTGGGCAGAGGTGGAAGCAGATGGTATCTACGTCGTAGACTTGGCAGCTTGGGACAGTGGCTCGCTCCCCTCCAGCTTACCTCGCTCTTGGACGCCAGGCGAGACTGAGACGGTAAGCTAGATGTCTCGCACGGCATGCATTACGTTTTTGCTACTTACGATTTCAGGTCCTCAATATTGGAGTCTTCAACATGACCCTGCCGCCATCAGATGTCCGGCCGTTGTCAGCCGCATCACCGTCAGTGCAGGCAGTCAGGCAAAAGATGACCGAGTCGCTCAAGTTACGCGTCTTGAACGTTCCTGAACCCCCAGCCCACGATACTGGTAACGACACGCGAGTAGCCGTCTTGTTTTCTGGCGGGCTGGACTGTACGATCTTGGCGCGGATAGCCAGCGATCTGGTCCCATCTGATCAAGGCATTGACCTCATCAACGTGGCTTTCGAGAACCCTCGCCTAGCAGCGAAGGCTGACAACTCTCCTGGTGCGCCGAGTCTTTATGAGGCTTGCCCAGACAGAATCACGGGAAGGAAGTCCTTTGCCGAGTTGGCTGCGGTCTGCCCTGCTCGTAGGTGGAGGTTCATTGCCGTGAGTTCTCTCAGCCTGACGCAACCATCCCTTCATACTGATCTTTTACAGGTGGACGTTCCATACCAAGAAGTGCTCACGCATCGGAGCCAAGTGATCTCTTTGATGTATCCCCATAACACCGAGATGGATCTCTCCATCGCCTACGCCCTCTACTTTGCCGCCCGCGGCGTCGGCATGTCACAAAGGAGCCCGTCAGACACCGCTGTCAACTATGCCACACCAGCGCGAGTGCTTCTCTCTGGCCTTGGGGCAGACGAACTCTTTGGCGGCTATGTACGGCATACCACCGCATTCTCAAGAAGAGGCTACCCGGGCCTTCTCGAAGAACTCAAGCTGGATGTCAGCCGGTTGGGCAAGCGCAACCTGGGGCGCGACGATAGAGCCATGTCTCATTGGAGCCGGGAAGTACGGTTCCCGTTCCTCGACGAGCAGTTTGTCAAATGGGCCATCGAATGCCCGGTCTGGGAGAAGTGCGACTTTGCCTATCCCGAAGGAGATTCAGGGGTCGATCCCGAGAAGCGCGTGCTGAGACTTCTTGCGAAGGACCTTGGCATGGGCGCAGTCGCCCAGGAGAAGAAGAGAGCGGTAGGTCGCTCATCTTTGAGGCAATTTTTCATGCCCTGTACTGACCATTCTACTAGATTCAATTCGGCTCACGGACGGCAAAGATGGAGAGTGGAAAGACAAAGGGAACAACCCTCATTGCTCCATGAGTATAACATGAGAGGCGAGTGCTTCCCAAGGCTGGCGATGATGACGTACAGATACTTCCGAGTCGGCGGTCCCTTGAACGATGTAGCCAGCGACTGCGCGTTTCTGCTCAGCAGTAACCCTTTGCTTGCGACATACGTTCAAGTATAAAATTCAAGACCGTCGGCAATGATGTCGTAAAGGCAAGTCTGAGCCAGAAGATAGATGACCTGAATTTACCTTACAAGAATAGACAAAAATTTATGGACAACTTCGACGCTCTTCGCAAAACATGATTCTATTTCCTGAAGCTCATTTCAGCCTCGTTGTTAGCCATGTCAACCAGCTTGTGTAACAAAATCACCATTTGTCGTTCAGCATCATGACTGAAATTCAAGTGGCCAGAAAGGTCTCACAGATCGAACGCCGACGGCAATCCTGTGAGACAGCGACACAGGGTAAATGATCCTACTGCTACCCGGCAGTGCCCATGCAAGCCGACATCACGCACATGTCCCAGCCGCCCCTTGCCTAAGCCTCGAGGTTTCCTGCATGGGGTGCCACCAACATCGTCCCCATCCCGGCTTGGCAGCAGTCGCTTAGCTATTCTCAGGCCCTGGGAGACACAAACGGCCCTGTCACAGCCTTTCTAGTGGGGAAGCCACGGGCTGTGCTGTCTCTGTGTGATCCTGCTGCCTTGACGATCAACCCACAAACAACCCCAGCGCAGATGATGTGCTGCATGTTTTTTTGGGTGCCATTCTTACTTTAAAGCTAGCTGACCCTTCCCTTTTCAAGATTGTCGAAGTCTCAAGCACAATGCTAGACTGCGGGTGTTGTCTAGTTGTAATTTGAAGGCTCATTCCTGGCCATTAAATGAGCAGCCATGCACCATCTTGAAGGTCCCTGGGCGGCGGCAGATAGCACCAGGCGTCCGCCGTACAATTCAGAGGCATCGGACCTCTCGAGAGATGATCGGCGACCGCTTATCCATGTGCAGTCTACCGACTCAGCGGAGACCCGCACCGAGCCCTTAGAGTCCGAGCAACCCCAACGACCCAAGAGCTTCGTGACCGCCGAGCCCGGAGCCGCCCATGTCACCGACGTTCCCCACGTAGCTTACAACAAGCTGTCCAACACGGACCGGGACTCGGCCGAAGCACCTCGTCACGGTGGATGGGACTACACACCAGGAAGAGCAGACACAAAGTCCCATCTATCCCACAAAGAATCCGGTCTCGTACTCTCTGCCCCTAAGCAGCCATGGACTGCATCGCTCAAGGGCTGGCTACCAGAGCTCATATGGTCAATTATAAGCATCGCCTCCGTCGCCGCCCTCGCCGGGGTGTTATCCCGCTTCGATGGCCATCGACTACCCGAGTGGCCGCTAGGCCTGACGCTCAACACGCTCATCGCCTTCCTTGCGACGCTGGCGCGAGCTGCGTTTGTGATTCCCGTGTCTGAGAGCTTGTCGCAGTTGAAGTGGCTTTGGTATCGCAAGGAGAGGCCGTTGAAGGACTTTCAGGATTTTGATTCGGCTAGTAGAGGGCCTTGGGGGAGTATCCAGCTGTTGAAGACGACTAAGGGTTGGTGAGTTTTCGGTCCTGGTCATGGTGAGAAAAGCCTGATGAGTACTGACGCTATCCGTAGGTCCCCGAGTCTCATTGCTACGATTGTCATGATCACGGCAATTTTTACTTCGACATTGACGCAATCTGCCGTCACATATCCCGTCCGCCTCGCACGCGTAGACGGTGATGCGACAGTGCCCCGATCAACATCGTATTTCTTTAGTACATCCAACACTTTCTCTAGCTGTACGTCCAACCCTTCAATTCTCATCCATATTTCATTCTCACTGACATGCTTGTATGCAGTACAACAAGAAAATTACGTCCAACAATCAATCTTCGAAGGCCTAAGCTACGACCACACCCAAGAATTTCCCCTCAGCCCAGCCCGCTGTCCCACGAGCGAATGCCAGTGGGAGAACTACAGCTCGCTGAGTATCTGCGCCAAGTTCTGGAACGTGACAGAATCGTTGAACGTCACGACCAGGGAGACACCTACTGGGACACCGCGGATGAAAGTTTCGCTTCCTAACGGGGTGTCTGCGGACTTGAGCGGTAATTACTTCGGTCTCGTCAGTCTGCGAGGTACGAGTAAGCCGATTGCATCGGATGTGAACCCTGATGCAGCGCTCTTCAACTTTACGGTTATCTACTCCTTGCGAGAAGGGAACGACGCCGCAGTCGGAGCTATGGAATCTGTGCTGTACCTCTGCGCAAAGACGTATAACCTCTCCTTCACAGGTAACATTGAATCGCGCAAGGTCGTCGAGATCACCTCAGACGTCGAACAGGGTTCCATCACGTTCCCCTCCGGCCAGGTACGAGATGACTTACCCGCGATCCGAGACCCCCTCAACCCCGACGGTGAAAACTTCCCCTACGGCGGTACCGGGTTCGGTGCGATGAAGGACAGTCTTATCAATGCGCTCAACGGGTCGTATTCGGATCTCAGTAACGTGCCGAGTGCACTCGGTCTTGCGCCGGCTCGGTACCTAGCTGCCATGCAGTACGGCGCCAAGACGTTGGAGGCGCAGGGGCGGGCGAATGTTTCGAGGGACGTTGTGATTAATGAGGCTGTTGCGAATATTACGAATAATGTTGCGAGGAGCTTGTCAAATCGGTGAGTCTGCTCTATGCTCTCAGCCCCTACGCAAAGGGTGGGCGAGGTGTGACTGACCAACCAAACAATACGCAGCATCACGAATGATACCACAATAGCGAGAGGGCAGGCGCTCGCATCCGAGACATTCGTACAAGTTCGCTGGCCTTGGCTTGCGTTCATCTCCTGTCAGGCCGTGCTCTCCATCATGCTCCTGGCTCTCGCCATCATTCAGACGAAGACGGCGGGGATCGGGGTGGTGAAGAGCTCTACCCTGCAGGCCATGGTCGCTATCAACTCCAAGGATAAGCAGGCTCTTGAGATTGGGCTTGCGCAGGGGCACCATCAGGAAGAGGTGGACGATGTCGTTAGGAGAGGGCCTGGGATAGCTTGGAGTTTGGGTATGAGTGATCGGGGATGGAGTCTTCGTATATAGTTGATGTTTGTCATAAAGTGGTATTTCCTAGCACGCCTGCTTTAGCAATTCTCACGCCGTTCCATCTCACGTCCACCCTTCCAACTTCGGCCCCCTCAACATTATGTGAGGAGTATGATTAGACCACGCCAAAGCAGCGGGAATCTATATTTCAGAGTCGCAGCAGTCGGTTTGACCAGGGGCCTTGCGCATCCTAATCGCAGCGCTGCAAATGATAATCAGTCTCCACTTCCCGACGGCCATCAATTACCTTAAATTTTCGTCCGCGGAGACGATTCATCCGCACCCACGATGACTCTTCTTGTTCCTTTTATTCCCGTCTTGACATCCTCCGTGTAGACAGGTACAATAGAGACCACATTCACAATGTCTCGACAACTTCTACACCGCGGACTCGCCGAAACAGGTCTTCTCGCCCTCGGCAGATCCCACCCCGACATCAAATTACTATGCCTCCAGCGCTTCGTGCGCATGTTCGCCTACGGCGCAACGACCCTGCAGTTGGTAGCCTACTTTGAACTCCTCGGCTTCTCGGCGACGCGAATCGGTCTGTTCATGGCGTTTACTCTCGTCGGAGACGTCTGCATCAGTCTGGTCCTCACTACCATCGCCGATGGCGTGGGGCGGAAGGCGGTGCTGGCTGCGGGCGCGGTTTTGATGGCTGTCAGCGGTGTTGTTTTCGCGATGTGCAGCGGGTTTTGGGTGTTGTTGGGTGCTGCTGTGGTTGGAGTTATTAGTCCAAGGTACGACTACAAATATGCTCCCTCCAGAATGAAGGACTTGTGAGGCTGATTGTGAGCAGCGGTGCCGAGATTGGACCTTTCCGTGCCGTGGAAGAGAGTATTGTCGCGCATCTTACTACCGCTAAAGATAGAAGTGACGTCTATGCCTGGTACAGTCTCATGGGCGCAGCCGGCACTGCATTTGGTGCGATGACGAGCGGTTGGACGGCGCACTACTTGACGACGAGTGCCGGCTGGGGACTTGAGCATGCGTACCGCGTAGTCTTTTACGGGTATGCGGTGCTTGGTGTGTTCAAGTTCTTCCTCGCGTTGCTTCTGAGCCGTGATATCGAGGCAGAGCGGGATGAAGCTGGGGTGTCTGAGGAGGAGACTGTCCCGATTCTGGGCGAACGGCCGGCTGAGAGGGAGGTAGAGGTCAAGACTTGGCGATCGAAGCTTGTTCCGAGGATTGAGAGGGAGAGTATGCCTGTGGTTGCTACCTTGTGTTTCTTTTTTGCGCTTGACTCTTTCGCCTCGAGCTTGACTACCCAGTAAGTCCCCCGTAACTCCTTTACCAAGCCTTGACGCTGATTTGTTCTAGATCCTGGATCGCCTTCTTCTTCCGGTGGAAGTTCAACATAGACGACGGAACTCTAGGGTCTCTGTTCTTCACCACCAGCCTCCTGGCGGCTGCCACTACTCTGGTGGCATCCTCGATAGCCAAACGAATTGGCAACCTAAATGTACGTAACATGTTCCTACGGATCTTTGAAAGCGGAAGATCCATCAAACTGACTATGTCTATGATGACACAGGCAATGGTCTTCACCCACCTCCCCTCGACAATCTTCACAGCCCTCATTCCCCTCCCGCAAGACGCCACTACGGCCATCGTCTTCCTGATTTTCCGCGCCCTGACGCATTCCATGGACGTCGCGCCGAGGGCCGCGTTCCTCACAGGTGTGGTCTTGCCCAAGGAACGGACTACTGTGTTGGGCTTGATCAACGTTTTGAAAACGTGCACTTCGAGTGTAGGTCCTGTGGGCGTTGGAATCTTGGTGGACAAGAATCTCTTCTGGGTTGCTTTTGTGGGCGCGGGATGTCTCAAGGTTGTTTACGACCTTGGTATGTTGGTTTCTTTCCGCAAGCATGAGCGAGAGCTACGGGATGGAGCGGCTGGGACTGATTAGAGACAAGTTACAGCTGGTTCATATGCGGCGCACGTACAGACCCATCGCATCGTAGAGGGTGAGGTCGTTCAACTGAAGTAAAGTTGACATCGGATAGGATTGAGCAAAGTGAGGATCGTTTTAACTGGTCATATGTATTCAAGCTATCAGCTAATGCCTCCATCCTTATCCATGCCTCTATAAATTGCTGCAGAATCTTCAAGTCCACGGACTACACATGCCAGCCATGACCCTATTGGACAGCTTAGCTGTCGCAAGAGCCGAAAGAGCTGGCGATCCAGTTCTTGCAGCAAGCATCGAACTGGGCAGCGGTCTCCTTTCTGTTGGGGCAGTAAAAGGCAGCGTTGTGGAAAGGTCCAGTGACGACGTCGTCTGAAGTCATGTGTTAGTATTCGCATACTGCACAGAAAGGTAGCCAGAGAATAAGGAAGGAAGAAAACACTTACTACCGCAGCAGTGGGCGGTAGATCCCTGGGAGCCCTGGTCCTTGTTGTCTTGGTTCTTGAACTATAGTTTCGACAGTCAGCTCTGCAAGTTCCTCAACGCAACGGGCTTGTATGCTCAAAGTTGCGGGAGTGGTTGCCACGTACGAGACACACGCAGGTGCGAGCATCGACCAAGCTGCTGGAGATGAGCAGCATGGCAATGGTAGAGATGATGGAGGTCTTCATTTTGAGTCTGGGTAGGTGGGTTGGAATGGTAACTCGATGTTGTAATGAGTTGATGAGATTGCGTTTGTCTGCTACTAATATTTTCTGTTTACTCATTCGCGAAGAATACCAAGCTCTATATAGGACTTGCCAACTCGCAGAACTTCCAAAGTTCTGAAATCGTAGGAATCCTTCTCGAAGCCAACTGTCGAACCTACAATACGAGAGTCCTGTAAAAGTCAATTAGATGCCAATATATTACCCCGGAGTAAGCGGAAGACAACAGTTATCACTAACAAAGCTTATGCTTGGACTTTTTGCAGTTGACGTTAGGTGTTTTCCATGCCCCATGTATCCACATAGTCTGCCCCCGAGTCATACAGAATTCCCTACAGTGCCACTATATCGTTGACAACTCACTCAGGGGATTAGGCGGTGTCGTAAAATCTGCCCTTCGAAACATCACTCAACCTAGGGAAAAAGCTAGTTTAGATTATCTTTGAAAGCTTGGCCGGCACGAAGAACAGCGCTCATCACGCAGCGAATACGTCGGTTCCGCTCTCTGATAGTGTCCGTCGAAGGTCCGTACATTGATGTACAATACCGGTCAAACTCGGACCTTTCGCCTCATGACCGTGCCAAGTTCCTTCCGAGTTGCCAAAAATTGCTCGTCTTCCCCGGAGTCAGCACAGCTAGGGGCCTTTGCTGCCTCTTCAACGATGAGCCGTCTTGTTTTCAGTACCTGTCCTTTATGGTTTTGCGCTTGCGGTAGCACCGCAAGTTAAGTCAATGGCGTCCTGGAGTCTATACAAAGTCCGGAGAACGGTTTCCGAGAGTGCATCTCCATGATACCCGTGGGGCAAGGGGAAGATCTATCCGTATTCATTTTCGCCGTAGAAGCCGAAGCCATGAACCCTGAAAGTCCAACTGGTGTGAGATGTTCGATGTCTAGTGCCAAAGAGCACTTGGAAAGAATCAAGCAAGCTCAGACAACTGGCGAAATTCAGACAGATACCTGCTCCGGACTACGGAATCCGGGAAAAGTGCCCGTGAGGAAGCCGGTCACTAGCGGGCCGCTTCTTGGCGCACCGAGTACCGGTCAAGAGCGAGGTATAGAATGCCGAAACCCGTAAGCTATTCTGAATCAAATTATCGAACACTCGCCAAACTTGTGGAAGGGAACGAGAAACCCCGAAGTTCATCTTTCCATCTGAATGGAAAATGCATCGCCCTCCCGGCGTTCGGACCGGCCCCACACGGCCGGCAGGCCCGATATGATCACTCGCACCTTCTTGAATCTCGCCCAGGAAGTTGCGAAGCTCTGATCAGTTCCTTGTCTCTCCTGAGTTTTTCGAAAGACCCCGAGATTCAAATTTACCGGCTAAAGACAACTTAACTTCTCCCCCCCCCCCCCCTTATTCTCTCTCCACAACTCCTGAACTCAAAATTGTCGCCCACTTTCGTAACTCTTGTCGATCCATTGGCCTTTTGATCGCGACTTAGACTTCCAAACTTCAGCTGGGAGACGGTGCGCCTGACTGATGATAGACCGGGCTTTTGTGAAAAACACAAAGCTGATAGTAACTTTGCAATCCGGACCGTATTACGTACATTCCTTTGGTCATGATCCAGCGACAGGCACGATTCGGATGACAACAAGGACACATGTAACAGCGGATAGCGGCCATCAAAGGACAAAAACCCCGGGGTCCTCGAAGCGATGCTGATTTAATGCGCCAAAAAGCGAAATATTCTGCAATCGTGGTAACTTCGCAGCACCCTTTGCGAACCCAGTATGGGCATCACCGTGATCGTGGCGGTTCTTCGCAATATGCCTCAGATCGTCTTCACAACGTCCAGTATACTCACATGGTCATCAGGTTCGTGCTACACCTTGCCTGTCACTTCAAGGCCTGAGTGTATGCATTCAATCGTCGAAAGGCATTGCCGGCCGGGGACGGCTTGCAGCGTATAATTAAAAATCGATCGCATATGGCATTGACAAGAATTTCCGACAACGCCTGCTCTTGACTTTAGGACGTTCGAGCCAACAGGGTCGCTTGCCGAGGACAAGAGGCATCTGGCAGGTGCCAAATTCACGAAGCGTCATGCTAGAGCTTTGGACGAAAAGGCTTGCGCGACTCGATCTCGTATCGCGATACCACGTATCGGAGAACCTGCCTCAGCAGTCGCCGAGTGCGGTGCGGCTGCGATGGCTTGAGAGCGATAGCATACACGCTATGGATTTCAGAAACGGACTGAATCCAGAATTACCTTTCACGGAAAGCAGAGCGACGTTTCGTTTCCAGGTTCCATGCTGTTTAGAGATGAGATGGAGAAGGCCTCGAGGGGAGAGAGGCTGTGCTTCGTTGGCAAGGATTACCCGCCATGCATGACTCCTCAGATCTGTGGAGAGACAACTCAAATGCTTTTTGACTAATAGTGGACGAGTAGGGTTTGTCGAAAACACCGATTGGTGTTGTGCAACATTTCGCTGACCAAGACACACAAGAACATTATCATCGACTTGTCTTCCCTTTGTCGGCCCGAGGCTGCGTGGAATCCGGATGGGTTCAGGTCCCGGCACACGTTCAGAGGTATTCAAGGCGGCGGTCCGAATCTCTTTCTGTCTGAGCTTCGACGGGCGCGTGGACTTTGATCGAGGTTCATCTGGTCTGAGACTCGTCCGAGCCAGAAAACAACCACCGGACAATGGACACTGGCGGCTGGGACTTGGGCTGCTGGCCCCTGGGAAAGACAGCAAGAGTCAGGGCCCCCTTGTAACGAACCCCACGGAAGCGAAGAAGAGTGTTGCGCTTGGCAAAACTTCAGACCGAGCCTCACCAGGGCATCAGGGGCCACCATCGACTGGACAGCGCCGCAGCGGGCTATTTCTATAGATGGTGGAAGCTAAGGACAGTCCGGTGAGCGGCCCCGCACGAAGCGGTCCATGTTCAAATGTTGTGGCACTTCGCGATGCCCCTGGAAACCAGACTACTGCACGGGACGGCGTCGAGTGCCGGTGCAAGGGGGGGCCCACGCATAGGGTTGGGGAGCTGTCTGATCTGCGCAGGGCCCATTGGCTTTGAGTGGCTGTTACCAAGGACCAAAAAGATGCATGCTGCATTCGGGGACGCAGTGCTGTTGCAGCTCGCAGCTCCGTTGCACCAACAACACGGTCACACGGGTTCGGTTTGGACTTTTGGTGAGACCGGTGCCCCTCTAGGAAGAAGCCAAGAGATATCTGCATCGGACGTCTGGCTCAAAACTACGGGCCTCTCCCGAAGATGCTCTCGGGGCCGGAGTTCTGGATTTCTTTCTCCTGCTTTTTCTTCTTTTCGACATCTCACAACGCCAGACATACGTCGAAGGCCACGATCGATTCATCACCACCTCGCTGGCCGTTGTCTCTGTTTCTTCGCCGAAGGGGTTTCTGCCCTTTTCGTCGTTTTCGTGTTCTCTCAAACCTTGTCCGGACTCGCCCTGGCCCGGCACCCATTATCATCATCATCATCTCGTCCCATCCCGTACATGATTGATCGCCGATTTGGCTGAAAACGGTCGTCCAATCGTCCACCTCTCCAATATTGCCTTCAGCCCAGGTTTAAGAAAAGATCAAAGTACAAACTCAACAGCACACCGTCCCGTCTGCGACGTGAACTCTCAACACATCCGCGTCTACTTGTACCTCCCGACCTCTCACGACTCTTACTCGCCCACCTTAACTACCTCCCGCCCTCACATTCAGAGTACCACTCATCCCACCCGGCGTCATCTCATGCCACGTTCCAGAATCCCGAGGTTTATCTTATTTTGATAATCGCTCTACACTGCGACTCTTCTTATTACCCGAACCTGTCCTATCACTTCTTTACTTCCCGTCTGAGACATCCGCCGCGGTGGTCACTAGTACCATTTCTCTATTCTTCGTTCCTGGCTTTTTGCGCCTTTACCCCCATTTAATCTCATTTGGTGGCCCCATCGTCACATAACAGAAAACGTCACTGGCATGCTGGGCAATCTCCAAACGGAGAACTAGTCGAAACAGAGGAAAGGAGGAAAAGAAACGGAAGAAAAAAATCCTAACGGGACTCGTCACCGCCGAGAAAGGATCATGCTGAAGGGCGTCTGCGCAAACTCTCAATCCTCTTCACCTCTTTTCGCCCGCCTTTGATCTCTGAACCATCGTGTTATTGTTGTTCAACCAACTCGAGATCTCTGGTGGTGCAGTGGGCAAAACACACCCATAATAGCCACCATCACCACCAACACAATGGAGCGCCCCCACCGTCCTCCGCCGCTCACGATCCCCCCGCCGCCCCGAAGCCGGACCCGAGTCCGGAGACCTCGCCGTCCCAACGCACAACAGGCGCGACAGTTCAAGCGATGGCTCCTTCGCGCCCAAATCGCCAATGACGTAGCGCACGTCGCCGCCGCCTCGATACTCTTATGGATCATGTCGTGGTTCCTCTACAACGTCTCGTTTCCTTTGACATATCCCACAGGGTTCGTCACCATATCCCCTCCCATCTACTATCCCCTCAATATTAAATACATACTGACCGTGATCAACAGTCCCGCCGCCGTCGCCTTAATCGCGATCCTCTCCACGGACATCCTCCTCGACGCCCGCTCAATAGTCCACGCCCACGACCCTTGGCCAGGCTGGACCCTCCTCATCCGCCTCGTTCTCGGCGCCTCCCTCATCGCAATCTTCTGGGTCTATATCTCCCTCGGCGACGTCTTTGCGCGCGGTTTCACGTACTGGGGTATGTCCGACACCTACGGCCGCGTGCTGGCGTACATGTTCCTCTGGGGCATTGGGCTCTGGGACTTGCTTTTTGTGGTGCTATGCCGGCATTGGTTGGGCAAGGAGGTCAAGAGGTACGGAACGAAGGCGAGAAGTGTATTTGGGAACGAGAACGGGAGGAGGAGGAGGGGGATTCGGGGGAGGATGTCACCTGGTGGGAGCGCCATGAGGCTTGGGAGTGCGGGTGGAGAGGGGCCGGGGCGGATTGACGTTGTTGATATTGAGGCTGCAAGACCTGTTGAGGAGGGCGGCGGCGGTGGTGTTGGTGGGGAGACGGTTGGGTTACCTGTAAGGATGGGTGTGAGGAGGGTCAAGAACAGCGTGAGCGCGAGCGTCAACTCCATCGCGAGTGGGACAGGGCCAGGGAATGGGATGGGAAACGAGGATTCATCGCCGCCTCCGCCTGCATTTATGAGGCCTGCATGACGGTTATTGGGAATACGAGGCTGGGAAGCAAGATACCTGGCATAGCATAGTTACAGTCAAAAAAAAAACAAGAACCTACATTAGTTAATGATAATCAATATCAAATACCAACTATTACTTATTTCGGGCATTTAAAATGTGACGTGGCATATGAGACGACGTGTCCGTCTGATGGCGACTTCGGTTCGTCTTGCCGACTACTTACCTAGGTACCTTACATTCGTCTGATTTCTTCCCGGTGAGCATTAATGATAGACGGGCGCATGTCAGACGTCGTCTATTGCAGCACGTCATTCCATTTATATGCATTGGCGTGGAGGATTATTATGTGAACTGAGTCGTGAGGGTATATCAGCGTACAGTGAGTCTTAGTACGTCAAAACTTCGACGTTCAAAGAAGGGTACATCACATGCTTTCAAATTTCCTTGTTCAGAAGCACGATGGGATGAAAGAAGAGGTTCCTAGTAAACTGCAGTCAGGCTGCGGGTATCAATTCTACAATGACTTCTTCTATCTCGACTTTTGTAATAACCCTACACCTATTGACCGTTCCCTGCCTAGACCTCTGCGATTATTTCGGGTCCTTTTACAGGTGCCATGGCTTCATGTGAGCCATCTCTTTACATGTAGAGTACGCCTCTTCATCTACGATTGTGCCGGCCTGTCTGCTTCGCTTCGTCTGCCGTCCCTTCGTCAAGGTCTCTGGGGTAGAATCCTTGGTCATGGTATCAGCCTTGACCGTCGTATTAGTCTTGGGCGTGGTAGACGCAGACGACGAGCCTGCAATTGTATCGGACTCGCCCGTCAAGTCCACCATTTGCACAGCACGCGCATCACCATCCCCAAGAGCCACCGCCGCCTAAGCAGCACTGTAAGGCACACCTGCCAACTTCTTGCGCAGAAACCCCAAAGCCTTGTCCCGCTGTTCCTTGTCGAAGCTTTCATACTGAGGGTTGCCGGGCTTCTATCCCGCAAGGGGCTCCATAATCTGCTTCCCGTACTTGTCGACCATGAAGTGGCTGAACGCCTCTTCGTCGTTGTCGTCGTACAACATTGGGTCATCCCTCTCGGACTTCAGACGCTGGTAGAGGCCATGTCCGGCTTTGGGCCAGGATTCGGGAAGTGCATCCTCCGAATCTTCTGCGTCTGCTTCTGCTTGATCGGCTGCGCCAGTGGGCGCCGTCTTAAGGATCTTGCGGACGCCGCCTGTTTTGGACCGCTGCTTTGAGGGCTTGGAAGCCGGACGGTGGTCTTGCTGGCGGCGGGACTGTGATTCTCGGTGTCGCTGTGCTGCGTTAGTCCTTTTGCTTTGGGATGGGGTAGGTGAGGGTGGAAGACATACAACTTTAGGTTCAGCCCAATCTGGCGAGCCGAAGAGAGGCAGCTCGGGGTGCTTCTTAGAGACAGAGGCGAGGACGTCTACGAGAAGGCCCGGCTGGATTTGTTCGCTGAATAGGAGGAGATTGAGGAGATGGCTCCTCTTAAGATTCGAGAAGTACTCTCGTCTCTGAAAGCGCGTCAGTATGGATCCAACGTTCTTGCTTGTTTCTTTGACACTCACCTCACTGCCACTGGCACTGCCTCCATCAAACCCAATGAGGCTCGGCTTAGGAAACTCTGGCAGCGTAGCAAGCTTCTTCTCGCGCTTCCTTTCCACATCGTTGTGATGCTTCCTCCACTCCGACTGCTCTTGCTTCGCCTCGCGGTACTTTGCAAGTTCGCGCTGATACTTGGCCTGCTGCTTGTCCTCCTCTTTACAGGTGACGCACTTGAATTTGGAGGAACCGCCGTTGAGGGCGTCTGCCGAGATCTCTGGGTCATGGCAAAGCTGGTGCCAGGCCTCACCGCAGCCGCAGGGGACGATGGGGTTGCCGTCTGTGGCGGAGATGCGGTTGCACTTGACGCACATTGGGTTTCCACTGCCGTCATCCTTGGTGCGCTTCCTCTTCACCGGCGGTCTAGGCACGGGACGCCTAAGGATTGCGGGGTCCTGGTAGACGGGGATGTTTGCGGATTTTCGGGAAGACTCATCTTCCGCTACCGCGCGCTTCCTCTTTGCTCCAGAGGATGGTAGTAAGTCGGGTGGGCCGGCTTTGGGTTCTGCGTACGGGAGATAAACAGTCATAGGCAGGTGTGAGTAGTCCACAGGTGTATCTTTGACTTCCTCTGGGGCGACCTCAGGAGTTGGAGGAGGAGGAGGAGTTGCGACGAGATGGAGCGGTGGTGATGCTGGGGTGGTGCCTCTGTGACGATTCATGATGAATCGCGAAGTCGCAAGAGAGAACTGTGGCCGGTACGACTGCTGTTCAATAGCTGACGCGGGAGTTGATACACGAGCCGGTGTCTGTACATCGTGGCGATGCTCAATTGGCGCAGGCTCAATTGCTATTTGCGCGATGGGCGCAGGCAGCTGCTGGTGAGCTTCGACTTCGACGGGAGCTGTTTGCGCATCTTCTGGCCGTGTTTCAACGGTCGTCGTGGGTACGACTTCCATTTCGACTGTGGTATTGATTTCGCCGAACGGGAACTCATCCGCAGCTTCGGTTCCGATTGCCATAAGGTCTGAAGCCAATGGGTCTGACATGTTGAGATTGAAAGATGCGGCTTGTGCCGCAGTACAGGCGTGTAAGCTGTGGATGGCTTGTGAGAGCTATCGAATGCTGGTGAAGCTAGCAGACCAAGAAGGTGATACAAAGGATGAGATATCCCAGCTTCTGGATGCAGAAGCTCGAATTGAAGAGACTAGCTCATCAATTGATGAAGAGCAACCGTTTGACGTAATGGGTATCTTTTCGAAGAATGAAGAAATTAATGACGGCTTGTTGTGTACGCAGGAAGTCAATCGCAGAAATGCCATCAAACACGCGACCACTGTGAGTCGCGGGCGTCACGTGCGTTATTCACCGAGGTCACCGAAAAGACCCGTATCCCCCCTGCGTGCCTGCCCACCTTGGATTCCCTCGGTCAGCTAGGGCCAACCAAGGTGAGGCAGGAAAGAAGGAGACAAGAGGCGCAACACTCACAATACATGGCGGCACTCTTAAATCACGTTTGGATTGTTTTTTTCTCGCTATCTGATGAAATTTGCTACATTATTCTCTCAATTATGATTTGCAGAAGACCTTGGGATGGGTTACGTTTACTATGCAAATTTCCTGTCGTACAAGGTAAGGTACGTTTTAGTCTCAAGTTAATCCCCCGGCTGGACAGAGGCCAAGAGGCCAGGGCCGTTACGTCTGGACGATTTAAATTTCCCTACGATGTTCACACGGTCTTGGGGGGACTTAATATCGCAGTGAAAAGGACGTCCTGCATGAAGACGTGTCTCTATCTACATACTAGTAGGCATCTCGATCTACCTCAGCCAACCACATCATTACCCTTCAACGATGGCCTGCACGTTTTCGATACACCCAAGACCTTTGGACAGGTTGAGTCTGCAGTACAGCCGTGCAGCAAAAGATAATCAGAAGTGAAGGTTCCCATTGGAGGGGCACTTGCTGTGAAATTGTCCACACCTAGAGGGTAAACGCTCCGGCCTTACCGCATAATGATACAGGTTGACCAATTGAATATTCCCCTCCGGTATTCACAACGACTTCGGGGGAGTTAAAATCGCAGTGAAAATGAACTCATTGCTTTTTGCATCGCGATTCTTGTCCTCAGGACCTCTTCAACCAACAACACCCTCCCCCTTCAAAGCCCGAATCCTCTCCTCGGAAAACCCAAGATGCCCCCCCAAAACCTCATCAGTATGCTGCCCCAACGTCGGCGGCACACTCCTCACACTCGGCTCGCTCTCAGAATACTTGACCGGCGTATTCACCATCCGAATCGGCCCGCACTCCTCGTGCTCCATCTCGACAACCATGTTCCTCGCTTTCGTATGCTCGTGCTCCAGCGTGCCCTGCACGTCATTCACCGCCGCGTACGGCATCCCCTTGCCCTCGAACACGCGTAACCACTCCGCCGTTGTCTTGGTGACGGTGACTTGCTCGATGAGCCCCTCGAGCTCGACGCGGTTAGCGACGCGGTTGGCGTTTGTGGCGTATTTTGCGTCGTGCTGCCATTCTGGTTTGTTTAGGCCCTGGCAGAGGATGCCGTAGAGGCGGTCGTTACCGCCGCCGAAGAGAATGTCGCCGTCTTTTGTCTTGAAGGATTTATACGGCACGATGGAGGCTTGTGAAATGTTAGCATTTTATAACAGAAACCATGAGCAGAGAGAGTGAAACTTACGGTGCGCGGTACCCCACCGCCCAGAGTCCTTCTTCCCGCTAATCAAACAACTACTCGCAATATTCGCCAACGTCGCCGTCTGGCAATCACTCAGCGCCACATCAATATGCTGCCCCCTCCCCGTCCGTCCCCTCGCAAGCAGCGCCGCCATGATGCTGTTACTCGTATACAACCCCGTCGTGAGATCCGTCACCGCGACGCCTACCTTGACAGGTTCCCCGTCGCGGCTGCCGGTGATGTGCATCAGCCCGAACTCGGCCTCGACCATGACGTCGTAGCCCGCGCGGTCCGAGTAGGGCCCCGTTTGGCCGTAGCCCGTGATGGAGGCGTAGATGAGGCCCGGGTTGATGGCGCGGAGGGTGTCGTAGTCCATTTTATACTTTTTGAGGGTGCCGGGGAGGTAGTTCTCTACGAGGATGTCGCATTGCGAGACGAGCTTGTGGAGGATCTCTGTGCCGGATGGGTGTTGGAAGTTGAGGCCTAGTGATTTCTTGTTGCGGTTCACCTTGTGTGGCTAGGTTAGCTTGGCTCAGACCTGTGATCTGAAAGGAGACTCACTGCGAGGAAGTAGGCTGATTCGCCGGGTCCTTCTTTAGATGAGCCGGCTTTGTATGTCGCGTAGGGCGGGCCCCATGCTCGGGTGTCGTCACCGCGGACGGGATGTTCGACTTTGATCACCTCAGCGCTTCAATGGCGTCAGTACAAGTTGCTTAGCATGAGATGGAGGTAAATGAGTTCAACTGACCCCAAGTCTCCCAAAATTTGTGTACAGTATGGCTACATCAGTCAATGTTAGCATCGAACTTCTCAAAATGTTGACAATTGATGCTTACTCCAGCCAAAACTCTCGTCATGTCCAGCACGCGATACCCCTCAAGCGGTAGCTTGTTGCTCGGAACTGACGAGTACTGGCGCCACGCCCTTGGTAGCCGGGAGGACTGCGGACATGATCGTGCAGCTCTCGAGGCTATCCGGGACGAAATTCTAAGCGATGAAGAAGCCATTGTCTCGATCTTTAAGCAAAATCATACAAGAAATGAGGAAACGCTTTTGCGAACAAGTTGTTGATCCAGTTCAAGACCGGCATCATCGACGTTCACGACTTGGTTCCCCAGCTCCGACCCCGGTCTAGCTCCGGTCCGTTGGCGGGGATGCCGTCGGGTAGGCCTCGGCATTATCTTGGTCGCTTTGGTTGTAGCTTAGCTAATTGGGCACAGACCTTCACGGACTGCCTTCATCGGCTCTGAAACTTGGTCGCACTAGCCCGCCTGCAAGTTGACGTGCTTGAAAGCACGAAAGCTAGATCTCATCAAACCAAAGCAAACATTTCATTCGTACCAAGCTTCTATCCTGCTGTTTCTATTCTTACATGTGATATGTATCATCCGTGTGAGCTCTCGGCGGGATATTGAGCAGCACTGACGCCGAACGCCTCCCGAAATGCGATCAAAAGAGAATAAGAAGTCCCACGACGAAGATGACCAAACATATTTCAACTTGGATCTATTATCCCAGTATCTCTCTCTTCGAGACTTGCACAGCATTCAGCTGCTGTTACATTTGCCTCCCGTTGTCTTGAAAAGTCACAAACGACGTTGACCAGGAACTTCGAGAGTCTGCCGGCGTCGAGTTCGTGGGCCTTCGGGCGACCCAGCCGGAGAAGAAGGCGAGCCTGGTCGCCGCCGCGATGGCGATCGTGAATAAACAGGCTCTGAATTGTTTCTTGGCCTAGCTCTGCTCGGTGGCGGAGGCGATAATGGTGATTCCCGTGATATGGGTGATACTGGTCGTGGCGTCGCGGGTCCGCCTTCGCTTCCTGAATGGTGTCCTGGGGAGACTGGCTCCTGTGGTTCATGTTCTCGGTATGTGCTGTACTGCTCAGCCGTGTCCTTCAAGGCGGAACTTCTGAACCGTTCCCCTGGAACTTCGGGCCACTGCCTCTCCCTGTAGTCGGGAGCCCCAAACGGATCTTCCGTAGTGCTGCCGAACCATTTGCCGACTTTGACCAGCCCGGCAGAGACCTTTCGTCTATGTCCCGGACCTTGCTTGGTCGCCTGAGTCCCGCGTGTAGATGTGCTCGTGAGGGGCGGGAAGCCATGCTCAATATGGTCTGCATGCCCATCTTCACTTTCTTGGAAAGACTCAGAGTCTACCTCTCGAGCCCGATCGTAGATCAATCGACAGTGTTCGCAGCCACAGATGCTAAGCGGGTCTTTCGGGGCCTCATTTAAACCGTCTAGTAGGTAGATGAGGAATGATCCTACGATTGCTAGCCCTGTTGCAACAATGGTGCCCCACTGGCCTAAAAGAAAACTGGTCAGCAACAGAGACATCCCGTCAGCCAGCAAAACTCACCGACGCTTCCAAATGGCTCAGTGTGATAGTCCATCTGGGGGCTCCAGAGATTGATCTCGCCGAGGATGAGGATGGCCAACGCAGCGCCGCCAAAGACGAAGATCTCGATCAGATTTAGGAATCCGCTAAAGGTTCTGTGGAGGTCCTTCGACTCCTCGGACTCGTTTCCCTTTTCCTTCTGCGGCCCGTTCTGCTTCTTGATCCAATCGGTGATGACGATCTTGTTTCTCATAGAGATGAGCGAGATGATGGCTGGAACGCAGCATGCCACCGCGAGAAACATGGCGTTTCCAAAGCGAAGCTCGTTTGGTCTCGGCACCACGAATATCTCACTGGCAGCCTTTTGCCTCAAGCGTGAGAATGGACCGTCCGTCTGGGAGCAAGTTATACCGCATAATGGACTGTCTCCGTACGGGAACTTTCTCGGGTCCGACGATATTGGATTGCCGTTGTTGTCTTGGTAGCAGGGAATAGAATTGGATCGGTAGAACTCGACAGCCAAACTAACAAGACCTGTATGTGTTGGTCAGCCTTAAAGCAAACACGTGTCTTAGATGTGTAGCTTCTTACCTGCTAGCAATAGACTCGTCCACACAAAGACGGTATTGCGTCCCTTTTCGTGGAAGTACGTCTCGGACTTCTTGACCGTCAACGGAACTGCGAGAATGCCAATGGAGCAGAATTGAAGAGCCCCGTAGATATCCATATCGGCAGCGTCTAGGTGATAGGTGTCAGCTAGAGGCCAGAGACTGTTTTGCTTCAAACTAACCATTTACGTGGAGTGCAGCAAGGACGATTCCGTGCACCGCAGCCACAGCCGGTAGGATCAACGCCGCTGCTATGCAGACATCTCTGATCCATTTCTCTCCACGAGCTAGCACGCATACTGCCAGAAGAATGTAATATCTAGATCCCCTTATGTTAGTTATGGTTATCTTATCTTGGAACATCGGCCGTTGGAAGACAATTAAAAGCTGCAGATAGGCAACGCTTTTGCCCTTTGGCTGCGTCCGTGGAATTGACCCATCGCTCTCCTCGTTCTGTCTCCAATCTCGAGCCAGCGCAGGGTTAGATTGCTACAAAATGCGAGACAGAAGGGCCGATACAGCATAGCAGCGATGAGGTCTTCTCCGGACTCGTCCCCGGTTTTGTCCACCGCTTGGTAGGTTATATGTAATCCGGTTCCATTGCATTAGAAAGTGGAGAAAGAGAAGCATCGCTCACAGGATTCGCTGGCCAAATCCATATTGCCCTGATACTGGCCATCCGCAGAAAACCTCTATGCAATCCGGAGACGATCCACAAGACGCGGTGAGCTGATCTGTGGCCCGCTGGCTGATGATGGCACGCAATAGAGTTGCAGGTGAAAGCGGTGGCATCGCGCGTGTTCCATCAATCTTCCCGAGAGGTTGATACAGCGTGGTCCGACCATCTAATGTGGGAACGCTCGGTAAAATAAGCTTTCGTTTGTTTCCTCCTCGGTAGCAACGGTGGAAGTTGTAGATAGTGATTCGACGAAAACGGCTTTCGGCTGCCTCTCTAATCGGTAGTTGGACAAGACATGGAGGTCGTCTCCCGCCCCTCCATCCAAAGAAGTTTACCTTCCCTTCCGATTGCCCGAGTATCCGTCCAATGCTGGCATTGATTACCTCACTTCACGGTAAGGCTGGGAGTGGAAGGTGCTCGTGTGCTCGCTTGCTCTTCCGGTGCGGCTCAGCGAGTAGAGCAGGGCAAAAGCTTGGGTTCAAATGGCAAGCATTCCAGAGCACCCGCGGTGGTGGCGCAGCCAAAGGATTCGGATGCCCATCTTACCGTCTTCATCATGTTATCGAGTCGTAGGTGAAAGAAGGCAGGTGCTGTGGTGCTTTAGGTGAGCATCGCTGAGAATCTGACGCTGCAAAATGCCGACCAGCGAATCGATAACGCCAAGCCCCATAAGAATGGGAACACAGCAGATGTGAGAGCTTCGGGGGACGCATTGTCAACTGTCTCTGGCCAGTAGAGGTTGCAGTGCCCTGTCGGCTCTGACATTGACGAGAAACAGTATTCAATCAGAGGAACGCTGACTTGCTGATGCTTGCTGATGGCATTGGAATCGTGCAGGATACTATGCCGGTTGAGGCACTAGGGCCAAGGTCAACTCGCCAGTCGGGCGTTGATGTCACCCCGCCAGCTCGCCCCGCCTCAGGTCTTAGTGCCTTTTCCTTCTCAAGTCCCCTCGTTCCCCGGACCTCACATGGCCGGACGATCTCGCTGACGTGGGTGGATGATGCTAGCTCGGGCAGCCTGGTTGTTGGTTCTAGGTCTCTGCGGTCGACTCTGTTCTAGTATATCTCGTACTTAATGCGCTGAGCATCCTCCGCTATGGTTGAATCAGTCAGTTTCGCACGGGACATAATCAAGATGACGGTGGAAAAGAAGAAGCAAAGCTCGGTAGACGGGAGATGAAGATGGAAGTGCAGGGAGGTTGTAGATGCGTACTGTACCTCTTGATCATCAGGCTTCCAGTAATCTTCCTTGCAATATTAGCTCAGGAGCAAGGTGGCAGTGTTAGGTTGGCTCCAAACTGGAACTTGGAAGACTTGAAGGAACGTCAATCACCCGGACCGATCGTCCCCCGCAAATGAAGCGGCGCCGTCAAATAGAGAAGGAGATGACCGATGTGAATCACCCGCGCCTTCTTCGTTGGCAAGCCGGGTAAAATACGTACATGGTCCCCACTCAATCGCACAATTCCCATAATCTCAATCCGGCGGTTCTTGCCTCCTGCACCACGCTGTTCAGAGACTTCGTGAGAAGTACTCCGTACATGGATCTTGCGAATTTTCCAAACCTCCCCCTCGTCGACGATTGATTTCTGGGCCCCATGAGGGCTCGAAATCTCGACACACACTCTAATCAATTACGATGGCCATCGATACACGGACGGATCAGATCAGAGAATGGAGGTCAATTGTGACATTGATTGCCTTCTTCCTCGCGAGTAAGTTGTGGTACTTTCGTTGAAATTAGAAGGCTTCACTTACATCGCACATGTGTCGCAAATGGTGGATTTATTAACTCATTGGTGCACAGACATCGTCGTACTATTTCCCTTCCACATCCCAGTCTACATTCCTGCGCGACTGTGGGATGCGGTGTTGAAGGTGCTTCGCAAACTGCGGGTGATACCGCGCGAGGAATACACTCACGATGACTTCAAGGAAGGTGACCTTGGAGCTATGTCCCCGCGGCGCAAGCGCTTCGTGCGCTTCGACTTCCCGATGAACTCAATCACTGCGCCATTGATTGCCGACCTGTTTCTGCTGGTCATCTTGGCAATTGGCAGAGAGGAAGTGTACGACGGGACCATTGGCCAAAACGGCATCCATCCTCTCGATATCATGGTTTTCTTTCTGACGCTGGCGTACATTGCCATTTCGATTGACGCCTCGGGACTCATTCGGTACTTGGCACTCAAAGTGCTTCAATGGGGAGGCAAGGTCGGCTACCGGTTATTCTTCTACCTCTACGCCTTCTTCTTTTGTCTGGGCACCTTCATCGGCAACGACCCCATTATCCTGTCCGGCACAGCGTTCCTCGCCTACATGACCCGGATCTCGAACAACATCAAGTACCCAAGAGCGTGGATCTTCACACAGTTCTCGATAGCCAATATTGCCTCAGCCATTCTCGTCTCGTCTAACCCGACGAACCTCGTGCTTGCAGGTGCCTTCGACATCAAGTTCGTCGAGTACACGGCCAACATGGTTGTGCCAGTCGTCGTCACGGCAATCGTCTTGTTCCCGTTCCTCCTCTACATCATCTTTGCAGATAAGAAGCTCATCCCCGAGTCCATTGAGATGTTTCAACCGCCAGAGGAGGCCATGCAATCGAAACCCGTCAACCCCAACATCCCGAACCCTAGAGGAGCCGCAAGCAATGCCGATCAAGCGCCCGAGAGCAGTCCGCAAGCCCAGTTGCTCTCAGCCATTGAGATTTTGAACCCCTGGCTTGACAAGGGAGGAGCTGCCTTTGGCGCTGTTGTCATGTCGGTGACCCTAATCACGGTCCTGGCTCTCAATGCTGCAAACGTGAAACCGAAGGATGACCAGCACCTGCAAGTCTTTTGGGTCACTTTACCGGCCGCTTTTATCATGCTATGCTGGGATCTGGCATTCGGCTGGTCCCACAGAGAAGAGACTCGCCGGATAGCACAACAGGGGCGAGAGGGACAGGATGAGGAACTTCACAGAATAGAAGGGAGCATCAGGGAGAAGGAGATTACGGGCATATTGGGCCAAAAAGACACAGGCTTGGCCCAAGACACGACAGACGTGCCGCCACTGTCACCTGCAACCAAACCGGAAATCCACATCCAAGATACCGATCTTCTGGAAGATAAGGAACGCCATGGGGCTGCAAATGAGGAGGTTTCGCCAGTTAGCAACGATTCGAGCACGAATGCGTCGGAGCGGAACGCTACTAATACCGAATTAATGATCACGCCAGCAATCCCGGCACAAGTGAACAGCGATAGTGTGACTGGCAGTGCAAGCCCGCAGCTCATATCTTCACAGTCTACAGCTGTGGATAGGACAGAGAAGGCCGATGTCAGCAGAACGCCGAGCGAGGGTTCCACGGAAAGTAGGAGAAGAACTCTGACAGCTGTGGCCCATGGGCCTGGCGAAGCACAAACGATGCCAGATGGAGTCACGGATGTTGAAAAGGCAGTCGCTGGGAGACAATCCCGCCGAAGCTTGAGTTTTCGCTCCAAGAAGCAACCGGCGACGCTGGTATCGCGCTTCAAGGACGGGTATCGTTGGTCACAAGAGACGTTCCCCACAGTGATGGCGGTACTATCTCATCTACCCTTCGCCCTCGTCCCTTTCGCCTTTGCCATGTTCGTCCTCGTACAAGCTCTCGTCACCAAGGGCTGGGTACCAGTGTTTGCGTACGGATGGGACCACTGGGTTGAGAAGACGGGAACGATTGGTGCCATTGGTGGCATGGGGTTCCTCTCGGTCATCCTCTGCAACGTGAGTATTCACCCCTCCAGATCTGATTCGGCTATGACGTAACATAAAGGCTGACTATTATGATCCTTCTTTATGTAGTTTGCGGGGACGAATATCGGCACTACCATTCTACTGTCCCGAGTGATCCAGGCGTGGCAGCAGATCCACCGAGAAAACGGTGTACCCATCAGTGAGCGCACATTCTGGGCGACGGTCTACAGCATGGCTCTCGGCGTCAACTACGGAGCCTTCAGTACCGCCTTCAGCGCATCGTTGGCCGGTCTGCTATGGAGAGATATCTTGGAGAGGAAGCACATCTTCGTCAGCAGGAGGGACTTTGCAAGGGAGAATATACCGATCATCGCCATTGCCATGACGGTCGGCTGCACGGTTCTGGTTGGGGAGATTTACATCACTCGATCGGACGATGCGTATCCGTTATGAGCATGGCACCAATCAAGCTGATGGCTGGGAAATTTTCATTAGTTGACGGCCAGCGTATAGATGACTTCAGAACTTTTAGAAAGCCAAAAGATACCCCATTTTGAATAGTGATGCCTGCTTCTGAGTGACTTATGTCTAGTTGAGGCTAAGGAGACGGGAATTTGTCAACGTCATTTGAAGCTGAGCGATACTCATTGAAGGGAAGGGTGAGAGCACGCCAGAGTAAGGAATAGCCCCAGACCTGACGACCTCACTCGGCACCACA